AATTTCATTAAAATCGGTACAGCTGTTTGGAACCCGCCGTTTGGATACCAGCGAAACCTTGCGACTTGGCTAAAACCTAGGATATCGTTAGTGCTTAGTGTTTGGACCTAGTGCTTTGTGTTGGACCTAGTGCTAGTGAATAAAGTCTTCAAAAGAGTCAGCAGGTCCTTCTCTCCAAGTCCTTCGAACCCTAACACGTAACAATATAAACCTTCCTCTTGAATTTCTTTGTCTAGTAAAAAAACCGCATTAAGATCCGTTGAGTAGTTTTAAAGATCTAAGTATGGATCAACAGACAGTGGGACGACTTTGTTTTGAAGCCGTATTAATGATTCTAGTTGGTTTTTATGTTATAAATTCCCGTGTGAAAGATGTGGTTGTGAACATCATATATTAAATAGACATATTTTTCTGTCATTGTCGCTTTACTTGACCTTTGAGGAAGGTGAACTACCATTGGTCGGAGATCGCTAAACGTCGGTATACCATTTTAAGAGTTTGAGCCCAGTGCGACGTACAAGTACTAGTTTTTATGTAACTTATACGGCTAAGATTATATTATTTATCTCCTTTTATAACAGTGTGCCTTTTTAGCTCTTTAAGGGTAAAACGGTACCCTATTACTAAAACTCGTCTGTCTGTCCGTCTGTCACCAGGCTGTATCGCATGAACCGTTATAATTAGACAGTTGAAATTTTCACAGATAATGTATTTTTGTTGCCGCTATAAAAACAAATATAACAACAATCCGTCATATTAGGGTTGTCAAACTAAATATATACTATATGTAATTTTGTAACACGTCCTACCTAAAAGTTATGATTTTAAGTTCCAGAAATAAAATATAGTCTGTGTGAAAATTTGAACATGTTTTTTTTCCTGTATTTTGAATTTAAATATATATCGTAAAATTATACACTTAAATAGTTTTGTGAAGAAACTGTTTTACATTATTATATACAAAAAGGAGACACATGTTATAAGAGATAGACAAAAATTTACTTTTGCTTTTGTGAATTGTAAGGCCCAGCTGAATTACAAACCAACAGTAATATTCTAAAATTTTGGTATTCAATCTTCCTTAAGTTAAAAAGTTAGTTGTCTTAATTAAATATTCTTCAAAAACATGTAGGCAACAAACACTAAAGGAAGTGTCATTCTATGTGGTATATATGAAGTTGCACGAAGTATTTCATGGTTTTTTGGCTGTCAACAAGAAGTACGTATTCGCGATAGTGCTGCCCAAATAAAATTTTAAAGTGGTCATTCTTTATTCTAAAAATGAAAATAAGTGATTATACCAGTGTTATTGTTGTACAAAGTAAAACTAGGGTAATTTGATGAAACTATTTATATTTCTACCGTCTTTGCATGATTAAACAAAGTAAAGCTTATTCCTAGAGTATGGGGGATAATCGAAATGAGAATGTAAGAAATAACCTATTTCTGTCCATAACGCTTTTACCAATGAGTGGTCGCTTTTAATTAAATACTCGAGCCACCTGAGTTCAATCTCCGGTGCCAGCACCAATGAAATTGTTAATTTTAAGTGCTGACTAATCACGTGCTCTGCGGTGAGAGGAAACCTGCATATTTTCGAAATAATATATCTAAGATGTGTGAAGTCCGCCATTCCGCAGTGGATTCGCGTAGTGTGCTATGCCTCTGCACTTTAAATTTTTTTAAGAAAAAAAAAATGACAAAAAAGAGGATACCTTACCGAGTTTCTTTCGCCGGTTTCATATCCGTTAGAGGAACCTCATTGCGAAACGGTGGTAGATGAAAAAATTACTATCGCTACATGAAATGTATACGTTCCTTATGTCGATGAATAAATGATTTTGATATATTTTTTTTAATTTTAACTTTTAAATTTCGCTCGCCTGCTCAACAAAGACACCGCCTCTCCTATTCAAATAATATATTGTTTGGTGCGATTATTTTCGGCCGAATCGATTCGGTTATCAGTCAATTAGGCGGCACTCCACGTTGCCGCGGTACTCGAGTGGCGAGTGCCGTCCGCTCTGAAGAGTGCCATTTATTCCGTGAACGGACTCGCAGATTGTTACGGACTCTATGTAGATATCTGCCGTAGCAACGAAAGAAATTAACTGTGGTAGGACTTATGCACTTATGGGCAGGCTCGTCCGGGTAAGTACGACGACCTCACAGAAGACCGGCGTGAAGTGGTAGTATAATACTTTCGCGTTTCCTCAGGTGATTGAGGTAGCCGGAGCCCAATTTTCAAAAGGTTGTCAACGCATCTGCATAAAGAAAATGAAGTTGCCTGGTATTGGCTTCGGCGCAGCGTGGTGCCCACGCGAACTATTTGTCCATAGATAATTGCTTCGGATGTTTGTCGTCAGCAGGATAACGATATCCTACAGTGAGGGGGCAATGTTTTCGAAAGGAATGACAACCATAGCATCTTCCACGTCGCTGTTGTCATTGGGACTTACTACCCATCCCCTTTCACTCAAAATACGAGCGTAATGTGACACTGCTGAAGTTATAGCGGCTTGTCAGTCGTACAAGATCTGCATTGACCAAAGGGGACCATAGGCGATCGTAGATCTACAATTAGGCTATAGGGCCTTATTGCTAAAAATAATAAAACCTCAACTTTTGTGTGGTGCGTCAAGCGTGGTCTATTCTATCCCATTCATGCTTACGATGAAGGGCCATGGAAGCACTATTAATTCACAGAAGACCAGCGAAAAGTAGGTTAATTCTTTTGTCGATAATTTTGTGAATAATTACCTCCCTCTTAAATTAGTAGTCCGTGCCACGGTTTTTGTGGAAATCTGTGGTCTTTATAATGTTATGAAAATTGTTGCTAACAGAGCCCTATAAACGAACCGTTATTTATAGCGTTATGCTGACGATGGATTAAGGAGTTCTCGATTACGCGAAGCCAAAAATCACCCTCCCCTGTTTACAAACAACCGCCGCACGTGGATCGAAGCGTTACTCTGTATTCGTTGCGTATCACGGGCGAATTCGTTTTCTCCACACGCGGCGCGCAATGTAAACATCACACTTGTTAATATGGCCCTTGTTTACACAGCAAATATAACGGTTCGGGATTCGGTGCCAATCAGGGATGATAATGTCCGAATATCGCCGCTGGAGTCGAGTGGCCGCGCCGCCATCGTGGGCCGTTTATTAGCGCGATAAGATAAAACTGATGGCGGCGATATCGGCTCGATTACGTCTGTTACCTGTCCGGTCTTGATCCACTATTGAGAGCAATGCTGTGGCCACGCAACAGCTTCAGCTGTTGCACGAATGGGCAGGTCCGTCCGGGTTAGTACCACGGCCTCACAGAAGAAGTGTGGAAGTGTTACACTTTCGCGTCGCCTGGTGAGTGAGGTAGCTGGGGCCCACTTTATTAAAAGGTGGCAACGCATCTGCAACCCTACGAGTGTTACAAATGTCCATGGGCGGTGGTAATCACTTAACATCACGTGAACCACCAGCTCGCTTGCCACCCTTCCCATAAAAAGGGCACAGGCCGTTGCCCAAGCCCGCCGCCCGGGGTCTCACTATCAAGGGGGCGTTTGCGCGTGTAGTCTAGCGTCCTGCGCCCTGGTTTCCAGCGGCGGATATCCAGGGTGGCAGTTGCCTCTCTTAGTCTCTCCAAGGCCTCCTTCCATGTGATAACGTCCTCATTATATGCGATGACAGCATCCTACGCCTTCTTGCTGTCAATAACACGAACCACGACAGGCAGCTCTAGCAACTAAATGGCATTAGACTGGATATAATTAAATGCACAAAACTTCAATCATCCGATGATTCATTTATTTCATTTCCTTAACACTGTGCAGTTTATGCGTGAACGCAACCAATAACTAATCAGTTACATATAAATAGAGTCGAGAAAATTGAGGTTTTTTTCTAATTTAAATGGCCACTCCAATTAAGAGGTAAAAGTATTTTAATGCCATATGGAGGCCGTAATTATAATAAAAAACACGTAATAAATCTGATTAGAAATTAAAAGTAGCGCCTAACGGTACAAAATTAATTACAAAGTGCACGCGACATGCAATTCAAATGTTAAGATTGATGAGAAAATGTTTTTAGAAAATAAATAGTGTACTTAAATTTTATGCTAATTTGCGCACACCTATTATCCGCTTTTCTTTTTGTTTTTAAAAAAGTCTTACTTTGTGATGTGGCCCATTTTTATCAATCGGTTACACGTCGGACTACCTTCAAAATTACCATACTTTACCTAAAAACATTCCAGAAGGACATTTCGTAGTTTTGTGGACGGAACTAACTTATAAGATTAAATTATTTCATCCATATAAATACCGGTTTCTTTCTAGAAGGGTCTCGGATTGAAAACGACAATTTAAATCGGATTCGCTAGTTAATAAACGAACCGCTTGTACTTGAATCACGTAAAGCTTATTTGCAACATGTCATAAAGATAAACATTATAATAAAATGTAAATACAAACATATAGTATAGGTATAAGTATAAATACAAATCGGGAGAAAGAAAATCGATCCTTGATGACCATGCAAGTGCTAATTGAACACAACCGATCCGTTTAAATTTACTTTTATTGTAAAGTGAGTCACATACTCTTAATTCAAAAAAATGCTGTGATAGGACCACGCAACAGTCTTCATTGTTGCAAGAATGGGCAGGCCCGTCCGGGGAAGTACAACGACTTCATAGAAAGGCAGGCGAGAAGTGGAAGTGATACACTTCTGCGTTTAGGCTGCTGCGTGAAGTAGCCGTGGCCCACTTTATTAATAGTTGCGAACGCCGCTGCAATCATTCGGGTGTTGAAAATGTCAACGAGCGGCAGTTATCATTTAACATCAGGTGAACCGCCAGCTCACTTGTCACCGTCTCACATAAAACAAATGAATGTAAATGGTATAAGGTTTTCCGGTGGATAGTAATTTTTTTAACAATTAACTATCTCAGTTCATCATATTGAGCATGGCTTTATTATAATATGCTATTTCTATTTCAGATGACCCTGCACTGGTCCTCCATCAAAAGAGCAGCGTCTGTAGTGTTTCTAATCTGGATCCACATAGCTGCCGTGGATGGGAAAAAGCAGAAGGCCTCACCCGTGTGTCCTGTCGGTTTTATGTTGGCAGTGACAAAACAGAAGGGGGAGCCTATATGCTATAGAAGGAAAGGCCCGGAGGTATTTGCTGACGCGTTCGAAGACTGCTCGGGCAACATTTACACGTCGACCCTTTACAACAGTCTGAACATAACGGACCCAAACACAATATTATGGACCGAATACAGATCCTTGTACCCTGGAGGTCCCTTCATCGATTGGTCCTATTCCAGTTCTATCGGCGATCTGTTCTTGTCGACTTACGACGTTAACTACAACCCCGATCTCGGCTTGGACGAGGGCCTGTGTGTTGTGATGGACCCGGTGAGCAACTTCACGGCGACGAAATGCGACGAGAAACATTACAGATATTGCTTCGTAAAGCCTTATCCGGATGAGGGAGATATGACCGATGAAGGCTGCGGAGGTTTGCGGGAGTCCTGGCGATTCTCGGGTCCAATGTCCACTTGCCTCACGGTCCTGAGCGGCGTGGGCGGCGGACCGGTTCGGGCGACTTGGAGGCAAGCGCATGACCTGTGCTTGAAGCGGGGCGGGTCAATTCTGAACAGGGGTTGGAGGTATGCGAACAACCCTATGTTCCGAGCAACTGGGTTTAATAGGACCTACCCGTTGGGTATCGTCATGAGCTCCGACTACTCCCTTTTACGCTACGACGCCGAAGATGATCATTCTGAGGTATTAGCAACAATTGAGTTATTGTTCTGTATCTCAATATATTACAAGTTTTATTACGTTTTTAATCCCCACGTATTTTTCTTCTTGTTTTGAATTGTATATTCCAGAATATCGCCCATCGTCATATTACATTTTGAAAGATTGGCGGCTATCTTAGTTTTTAAAATTTAGCTTTGGTTTACAACTCGTTACCTGAAAAGTGTAAATTAATTTATATTCTAAACAGATACCTGAATCGGAATGGAACTTTGAGGAGAACGTGCAGTCGTCAGATACACTGCTTGGTGCACTGCACGACAATTTCTGGTACCTCGTCAACGGGTCCTATATCTTTTACGATGTCATTTGCGAGAAGTCCATCGAGAGGAAGAACATCACCATGAACGTGACTATCGACATGTGAGTCATCTCCATTAAAAAAGTTCCTCTTTATTAACGCAAATAAACTCTTTAAAGTCACCAGCGAAATAGATGTGGCTTGTTAGGAACGCTGTTTTCTTTTATTATTTGTTCTAACTTCTCGATATTTCAGAGAAAATATCTGATACTAAAGGTAGTGAACTATTTGTGCTTTTCGTTTGGAGCTAAAAGTTTCTTCTTTGCTGCTAATACGAGTTCTCTTCTTACCGTTCAATTCGCTCAATTCTAGTGACAACAAGTTGACGTTGTACGTGAACGACACGTTGGACGAGGGCGACATCCACTGCTTCTCCGATTCCGTCATACATTATCCGACGCGGATAAAAATCTATCAAAACGAACATAACTCGTTCGTGTTGAGACCGATAACTGACGGCTATTACTGGTGCGTGCACACGGACACCGAGAAGTACCGGTTGGCGGAGTCCAACAAGATACTGTTCATACGGGAGAAGCAGTCGGTCATGAACGTGTACGCGACGAAGCTACGGCTGAAGAAACGTTACAACTTCGAGAACTTGGAGAAGATGTACAGGCTGTGGATAAAGAAGTTGAGGGAGTACGTGTTCTATCGGACGAAACAAGCGCAGATTTACGGCGAGGGACCACTCCATTCCAACGACACGGAGAGGATTCTGAAGCAGTTCAAGAGCTCCACGCCCGGCTTGGACTGGAAGGAGAAGGAGATAATACACAACTCGAAGATAAAGAGGCTCTACTTGGACGGGCGGACGGCGCTTCTGCATATAGAGCTGAACTCGGAGATGCTGCCGGTCCCGCCCGGGTGGTGGGACGACGTCGAGGTGGAGTTCATGAAGCCCGTGTTTTATTGCAGCGGGTTCGATTCCGTGCCCACGTTGAAACTGGGTAAGATTGTAATTTGTTATAATTTTAGCGAATATTACAAATTATTGAATGAAAACTATTTTTCGGAGTTGTGTCGCATGAATTTTAAAATAAAATTCTCGAATTTTCTTATTACAAATGAAGGATAATATTTTATTCAGGTGTTCATGCCTCAGTCTCACAAGTGATTTTGTCGGTCGTCGGCAATTTAAGTTTAAAACAAACGTGACAAAGATTTAGCAAAGTTTTTATTACGATGTCCGCCGTGATAGCTTGTCCGTGCGCTCGATTGTAATAAGTTGAGCAACCAATACTTGAGCAACCCGAGTGAAATCCCCGGTACCGGCTCCTATGAAATTATTAATTTTAAGGGGTTAATTAATGATAAATAACCCCTTAACGGTGAAGGAAAACATTATTAGGATAAAAACATACTTCGAAGATATGTCTATGCCCTAACGCCCTCTTTATAGAGGACTCCTTTGCCCAGTAGTGGGAAAACATAGGCTGTTACTTTGCTTCTACTTTCTTATTTATTACTCTTCCGCGAATACAACACATTATTATTAAACTGTTTCATGGATTATATATACGACGAGATTATATCTTATCCTTTAAACGAGCAATTTTTGTATATATATATAATATATATATATATATATATATATATATATATATAATCGGAATCTCGGAAACGGCTCCAGCGATTTTCATGAAATTTAGTATATGCGTAGATTCGGGGGCGAAAAATCGATCTAGCTAGGTTTCATTTTTAGAAAATGTCCTTTTATCCCTGTTTTCAGGGAATGAAAAATATAATTCGAATATGACTGTAAATTTCGCCGCAAGAGAAAATGTCATAATAGCTCGGTCAGTAATCGGGCGGCCCCAAAACAGACGGCCGTGGTTCGCGTCACGATCATTTACACATTAATTTTTTTACTTTTTTTTCGATTCCAGATCATTGCTTTCTTTATTTTTAATTTTTTGTCGATTTGTTATTTTGTAATTTTTTTCCCTTTTTTTTTTAAGTTCTTTCTTTTGTGAACAACATCAGTTCGTATTTTCTTATTATTACGTCGGTAAGATCGAAAAATATTATGCATATTTCATTACTCAGTTATTTGTATCTAAATGTAATTTCCAAAATACACGATTTACCAAAAAAAAAACAAACGGAGCAAAGCTCGGTCCTCCGGGTACTATACTCTTATGTGTGGACACACATGTAATATTGTTTCATAAATTCCCGACGTTTCTAATAATTTTAATACGTATCTTATACTTTGTATGTTGGTTACGTTATGGAATTAAAAAAACCGAGATCAATTTTACCGTTAACAACCAAAGAGTACTCGAAATTGCACAATTACAGTATCATTCTTGCTTTCTTTTTTTAAATATAAATGGCATTTTAATTCAAACAATTTTTGTCTCGCGGTAGCTATGCGTGTTAATATTTTCTATCTGTTCCTCAAAATAGTTTAATTTAACATACACTTTATCTTTGTAAACTTATATCTATTGAATTTAACAATCTGACGGTTTGTGGCGGATCTAGGTTGCAAGCAAGATAAAGCACTTGTTTTCAGATAAATGTTTCACGTGGTAATAACTGGTTAAGATTCCACGTTTCGTATATGTCTGCTAATTTATCTTTGTATTAGTTGTACAATAACTGCGCCTTATAAGACTCGCAAAAATTAGCATTCCTCTGGACCATTAAAACGGTGTATGAGTCGTCTTTAAGCAATATTATTTTAATAACGCATGCTTTATGTTATTAGATTTATAGACATAAATTTTATTAAATATGTGTGTATTGATGTTCGCACATAAGAAGTTATACTTCTTTAGAGTAGTTAAACAAAAACTACTATAAATTTTCTCTCACTTCGCAACTAACTTCATGTTACACCGATAACATATCATAAAATTTTATACCCATAATTCTTTCCAACCGCGCCAAAAGAAGTATAATATGAAAATATATTACATAAATATATTTTGAATCAATAAATCTAAATCATCAAATCTAAGTTGTAAAATTTTATCACATCTCTATTGTATGACTCTCATTCATTTCTCTTTTGCTTTCTGCCTTTCTGCTAGAGTACCGTCGCTGCCTTCTCAAACGTTAATTATTAATAAAAACCGGCCAAGTGCGAGTCGAACTCGTGCACGAATGGTTCCGTAAAATAACAGCCTATACATGTCCCACTGCTGGGCAAAGGCCTCCTCTTTACAGAGGGTATCAGGGCATAGTCCACCACGCGGCCCCACTGCGGATTGGCGGACTTCACATATCTTCGAAATATATTTTTTTATTACTATTTCGAAAATATGCAGGTTTCCTCACGATGTTTTCCTTCACCGCGGAGCACGTGATAAGTCAGCACTTAAAGTTAAAAACTTCATTGGTGCCGGCACCGGGGATCAAACTCAGTTTGATCGAGTATATAGAATTAAAGGCGAGCGCCCGGATACTGAGCTATCACGGCTTCCGTACCATTATCTATAAAAAGGCGAAAAATGTATGGCATGTCTGTTGTATGGGAGCCCTACTTAAACAATTTTTACCCTTTTTTGTATTTCTTGTTATAGCGGCAACAGAAATACATCATCTGTGAAAATTTCAACTGTCTATCGATCACGGTTCATGACAGACACTTGGGTAGGGTACACTAAGAAGTACCTACATAATTATAAGCTGTTATAACTTTTTATAGTGTAGCGTCTGGCTTGCGCCATACCGAAAAAATTACCGTCACGTGTTATGTCTTAGGTGACACATGCAATATTAAGACAATTCGATTGACGTGAGAGTCATCACAGTCGGCCGACTTGTTTTCTCTGTAACAAAGGAACAAACATTCGTATGTACATAGTTTGATAACAACATTTCCCCTTCTGAGTCAGCTAAAAACTGGCCAAGTGCGAGTCGGACTCGCGCACGAAGGGTTCCGTATCATTGTCTATAAAAACGACAAATAAATCATGTTGGTTGTATGGGAGCCCTGACTAAATATTTTTTATTATGTTTTTAGTAGGTTTATGTTGTTATAGCGCCAACAAAAATACATCTTCTGCGAAAATGTCAACTGTCTCCGTTAATGAGATACAGTTTGATGACAGACGGGCAGACAGACTGATAGGCAGACAGCGGAGGATATAATATATATATATATATATATATATATATATATATATATATATATATATATATATATATGATAAAATGAACATAGCGACAGTTTCAATTACTAAAATGTAAAGTGACACGTGCCAGTGCTAGGTAAAGGCTTCCTCTGTACTGTGGCTATCAGGGCATAGTCCACCATACGACCTTACTACGGAATGGAGGACTTCACATATCTTCGAAATATTTCCTTGATTATTATTTAGAAAAATATGCAGGTTTCCTCACAATTTTTTCCTTCATCGCTGAGTACGTGATAAGTGAGCACTTAAAATTAACAATTTCATTGATGCCGGCACTGGGGATCGAACTCGGGTTGCTCGAGTATATTGGATTAGAAATACATACGCGACCCGAAGGCGACCCGAATGGCGTTGCGCGTAGTGTACCTGCCTCCTGCGCCAGAGGGTGTGGGTTCTATCGCCACTACTGGAAAAATATTGTGTGATGAACGTAGTATTTTTTTAGTGTCTGGGTGTTAATATATGTATAATATGTATTTCTTTACAAAAGAAAAGTATGTTTATCAGTTTTCTAGTACCCATAGTACAAGCTTTGCTTAGTTTGGGACTATAGAATGTTGTCTAAAAATGTGTATTTAGATTATTTCTTACATTCTCATTCCCCCATTAATCTAGGAAATTATCGCCACTACTGGAAAAATATTGTGTGATGAACGTAGTATTTTTTTAGTGTCTGGGTGTTAATATATGTATAATATGTATTTCTTTACAAAAGAAAAGTATGTTTATCAGTTTTCTAGTACCCATAGTACAAGCTTTGCTTAGTTTGGGACTAGAGAATGTTGTGTAAAAATGTGTCCTAAAATATTTATTTGTTTATTTATTTATACGTTATGGACAAAAGTAGATTATTTCTTACATTCTCATCGCAATTTTCCCCCATTAATCTAGGAATAGAGCGCTCCTACATGAGATATCGTGTTATTCACATCCACTGTAACACGATAAGATATTGGCGTAGTGCATAGTGACTCTATCTCTAGTGCCGGAAGGTGTGAGTTCAAGCCCCACTATTGGAAAAATATTGTGTGATGAGCATAGTGTTTTTCTAGTCTCTGGGTGTTTATACAGCGTGTCTTTACCACCGCGACAATAAATGAACACACGTCTAACGCTTCTTGCCAATAATCATAAAAAAATATTATAGTTAAAAAAATCCATAATTAAAAAAAAAATTCAAACAAACTAATTAAGTAAAAAAGAAACAAAATTTGTAACATCCTATACAACTACAACTAACTGATTCATACATTCAGAGACTTTTTCATTCGTTGCTACAGCGCCGCATTACAAGCCTCTCCTTCTAACAGTATGTTTTGTCTCTTTTAAATTCATTCAACCCATTCATATGCTTTGTGACCTTTACAAATCAACATTTCGTTACAGTTTTATACGTAAGGGTGTTCTAAAATTCTTTGTTTCGGAAAATTTATAACTCGGTAAATATTGTATAACTCGGTAAGTATTAAACAATGTAAATGTTTAATACAACTGTAAAAAGTTATCCTCTATATGTATGTTCATTTATTGTCGCGATGGTAAAGACACGCTGTATATCTATAACATGTATTTATTTACAAAAGTGCCATGTTCAAAAATTAAGATGGGACCACATGGGAAGCACCAGCTTTAAAATAAAAAAAAGCATCATCACAACCGGTACACCCAGTTGGAAGTGCTGACGTAACAAACATAAAAAAGTACAGTCGAATTGAAAACCTCCCCCTTTTTTGAAGTGGGTTGAAAATATGTCCCAAATTTACTACGAAACGTGACAATACAAGAACTGAGATGAGTATGCCCGATATGCCTCGAATGACTAATTCTTAACGAACATTTGATACTCATGAAACTAATAAGACAATTAACGCCGCGTCCGCTAGCGTCACCTTGCGACCTCTGATCTTAGCACTCGCACTTAAATGAATCAATTAGATTACTGCCAAATACTAAATGGCAACTCTGAATGAAGGATGCTTTTGCCCAGCAGTGGCGTTTATGATTTTACTATGATCGGCAACTGCTACCTTGCTCTAAGGTAAACACGGTTTCTAAGAGTAGTAGGGCCACGCAACAGTCTTCCCTGCAGCACGAATGGGCTCGTCCGTTAGGTTTAAAGAATTTATTCTCATAAAAAACACAAAGTTGTACATAAAATGAGATACATGTTACAAGATACGACATATAGTTCATTTTAACCTCTTTAGCATTGTAGAAGATAAAAGCAGTAACATTACTTTGGGGGTAGATGAAAGTATAAAACATCAATAAGCAAGTTGCGTTAAGGGTGAGGTCACATTAAATTAGTACAATATAATTTTATAAATTAGGTACATTACAAAACAACAACCGTTCGGGTGAGTACCATGAAAAGTTGACTCCCTAGACAGACGAAGAAATTCCAAAGGTCGAGCACCTCTGACATTTTGCGTAAGCCGGGTACGGTTTGCTCTCATAACGAGACGATGACAACGTTGAATGTCCAATACGAAGTCTTCTAATCATCCTTGCTATTTTATCTTTGCTGTGTTGCGTAAATCATTGTTGATTAATAACAGAGGTTGAACGTAACTGGTTCAATTTCATTCACAGCGAAGTGTTGCAATTAAACTCCCCGATGAACTTGCTTCCAAGTAATAGCCGTGATTAATTATTTCTAAGAGCTATTAGTTATTTTTTCCCAATAAAAATGTTAATTGACCGATACATCCTTCTTTATTATGTTTAAATAAGTTGGCTTTCCCCGCTTCTAACATAAGTTGGCTTTTTTTAACCCAGTTTTTAAAATTAAATTGCAGCAAAGTAAATTTAACCAATCAGGAGCAGGAAAAAAGCTAAATATCTCATAAAGTTACGTTGACTTGCATCAGTTCAAGTAAGATGTAGTCACTAATTTAACAGTTAATATTACTATCGATCGATTTGCGCTCTATCTTCGATAGTTTATTATAGTTTGACATTAATTTTGTTTTTTTTTTACAGTGATAATCTTTGCATTTAAGATTGAACATTGAAATTTGTAGAAAAAGTACGAAGAGACCGCCGCGTGGGAATCGAACCCACGTCTTCGGCATTCGCGGCCTGACGCTTTAGCCACCGATCTAAGCTAAATTATGCTAAGTTATGATCGGCCACTTCCCCTGAATGAGACAAACTCCAGGTGAATCGGTGGCGAGTTTCGGCTGCCGCACCCACCAGTGCGTGGGCGACTTCAACGAGGGCGTGCAGTGGGTGACCACCGCCACCGACGGCTGCACCACTAGACCACCGGCTCTCGCCTTCACCACCATCAGGTTCCGGGAAAGAGGGCTGCGGGACGACTCGGTCACCCAGAACATGCCCACCAAAATCGCTACCCCTAGTGACAGTACCGTAAGTATTCAATCGTATTACTGTATAGCGTCAATAACAATTGGCACCAATCTCAAACTTCTCTGTGATTAACCCAAGATTCGTCATTAATCGTAACAATTTACCTGTGAAATGAAGTAAGTCCATCAGATAACAAGTGTGAAGTCATAAAATTTATTTACAGTTTTGATAATTATGTGATAACATCATTAATATCAGGCTGTATGGCTTTTATCCTCTTACGTTACAAACAGCATGAGAGGCAACATCGTATCAATGTTAAAGACAACAACAATGTATTTCTTAACTTACCACTTATATCGTTAATTAATTTTGCACGCATCTGATCTGTTTACAAAACTTTACTGTTCATAACAGTTGTTAACATTTCCACATCGCAACCGTGCGCGCTGACGGCACATTTCGCACCACTAACACCACAACGGCAAAACGGTTTGTAGACGCGCGCGGAGGCGCCACAGATAATAGAAGCGAGCGACGAGAGCTCCGAGGAGTCCACGGAGCGGTACAGGCCGCCTCCGCCTCCGCCGACGACCACAGCCGAGCCGAGCTCGACCACGGTCGATAGCACGACGACCACAATGACCACGGACGCGGCGACGGAAACACCGGAATCGACCACCGACGCTACGCCGACAACAGAGGCCGTGCAAACGACGACCATTCCAGAGATCACCACGAAAGCGGTGAGTCGCGCGCGCTGCCGAAGTTGTTGGGATTTTTCGGCAACTTAGGCAGCGAGCGAATTGCAGTCGTCGTGAAAGAAACTTCGGTAAACTTCCAGGTTCCAGGTTGATATGGAGAATGTAAGAGTCGTCTGAACAAAATCGGAAACCTTATACTAATCGAAGCGAGTACTTAATGGATTAACATTTTTTGGAACGGGATTTTTTGGACACCTCGCCTTCATTTATCATCCAGTAGAATATATGGTATTAATGATAATCCTATCGCAATAACATTGTTCTTTCTTTCACTTTCCTTCACCTTTATCATTTCAGCCCGAGGAGACACTGCAGCAGGTGCTCGAGGATCTGGAGCAGCTGGTGGCCAATGATACCGTGCCGATCCTAGTAGAGAATATTGTAGATGTCTTCGATCAGGTGAGTGAGAGGTTTCAATTGGTAAAACTTCGGAGAAGTCCTTAAGTGTCATTTAATGATACAATTATGATAGTATATGAGTAAAGTTGTGTTCCCAAGTTACTATTTGCTTGTGCTATTTGAGTTATGGACTGCTTAGCTTGACAATTGTATCACTTAATATATTTGTGACGATACTTCCATAGATGGGCGTTATCAATGAATATGTATGTGTAGTAGGAGTAGAATTACTGCCTCTTCGACACGCGATATAAGTATTATTCAGTAGTTGTTTCAAAATAAGATAACAGAGGAAGAATAATTTGAAGACAAGGTATGCGCACTTCCAGGTTGATGGGCTGCTTGATATGGAGAGCGAGCTCGACATCCCGGGTCAGATGCTGCACCTTCTGGACAAGTTGGGCTCGGCGGTGAACCTAAACGGTTCGCGCAGCGCCTCCGCCGTTAGGGGCAACATCGCTTTAGTGATGGCGGACGCCCAACCAGACAATCCCGTTCGCGGGCTGAGGATAGCGGCCAACGACGGCGGCTCCTTCAGCCAGAACTCCTTCGAGCTGCTCTCTGGTACGTACCAGGCTGGTGTAGTTACAAACACTTTACAACAACGATGCATAGAGTTGAGATGAGAAGGAGAGTAGAGCAGAAATAGAGAGTTAATAATTTAATCAAGAGTTCAACTTATTTGGTTTTTAGTTTATTACCAGTCTTTTCCTTCACATCTAGTTCATATCGTATCGATTAATACATAATTCAAAAGTAAAGGTCTCCTTTGTACAGAGGGTACCAGGGCATAGTCCACCACGCGGCCCCACTGCGGGCTGGCGAACTTCAAATATCTTCGATATATATATCTTTTTTTATTATTTCGAAAATATGCAGGTTTCCTCACGATGTTTTCCTTCACCGCTAAGCACGTGATAATTCAGCACTTGAAATTAACAATTTGAATTAAAGGCGGGCGCCCTGACATTGAGCTATCACGGCTACATAACACCGAATATCTCTCTGGTACCAGTCTGGTTTAGTTACGAACACTTTACAAAAACAGAGTAGAGAGTTAATAACTTAACCAAGTTTAAGTTTATTACGAGTTCAATTTTCCTTCACATCTAGTTTTTATCGTTTCGATTAATACATAACTCCGAATATCCAGTTGTAAAATCCATAATCCGAATTTGAATCCGGTCAAACACCGCCAGCCAAACTTGGCACCGCTGGCATTGAAGTTTTCGCGTGAAGATGTTGACTGGCGGTCTCTACCTAGCTCCGATGTTGATCTGATGATAGTCACCGTACCCGTGATAGTAGCAAAAAGACTGAACAAATGACCGGTGAAACGCATACTCGATTCTTACTCTACCAACTAGTAGCCAGGCGTTGACTTGGCCATTGGTGATATTCCCGTCGCTGTAGATAAGCTTTTTTTTTTCTAATGTGAAAAAGTGACAAACGAGCTGGCTTGCCTGATGTTAAGTGCTAACTACCGCCCATGGACATTTGCAACAGCCGTAGGTTTGGAGATGCGTTGCCATGTTATAATAAAGTGGGCCCCGGCTACCTCACTCACCAGACGAAACGCAGAAGTGTAACACTTCTACTTTACGCCGGTCTTCTGTGAGGTCGCGGTACTTACCTGGACGGACCTGCCCATTCTAGTGGCATTCTATAACGTGGCTCTAATAAAGTTAAAAAATGTATAATAAAAGCCATCAAAATCAAGTCAAATCATTTATTCATCAAAATAAGAAATATGCATTTCATCTATCGATAGTGATTTTTTAAATCTCCACCGTTTCGTAATGAGTCCTCTAACGGAGAAGAAACAGGCGGAAGGAACACCGTAGGTATCCTCTTTTTTGTAATTTTTTTTTCTCAAACAAATACATTGTTATACAGTACACATTTTTTTTAAAATTTAGAAACAGCTTTGGAGCGATCATCTGATTCCCTCTCTCATCATCATTTCAGCCTGTTTGAGTCCACTGCTGAACATAGGCCTCCCCCATAGACTGCCACGAAGTACGAAATCGAGCCACCTGCATCCATCGACTTTTTTTTTTATGTGAAAAGTCGCCAATCGAACAGACGGTTCACCTGATGTTAAGTGAATACGGCCGCCCATGGACATCTGCTACAACCGAGGGTTAAAAATGCGTTGACAACCTTTTGAAAATTGGGCTCCGGCCACCTCACTCACCAGACGAAACGCAAAAGCATTTGTCATAATTCCACTTTACGCTAGTCTTCTGCGAGGTCGTGGTACTTACCCGGACGAGCCTGCCTATTTGTGCAACAGCCGAGGCTGCCGCGTGGCCCTACCACCGTTAAACTTCCCGCACATTTGCACAGGTCGTCACTCCATCTAGTGGCGGTGGCCAGTACGAGGCTGCCACTCGAGAGGCTCTCCTCCGCAACGGTCAGCGGTTCTACGAGCCACATGCCCGTCGCCACTTCAGCTTGCTAACCCCGCGAGCTGTGTCCCTCTCACTCAATGACACTCGCTTCGCAGCGGAGCCGAACTCGACCTCGCTGAGCAACGCGGCCAGCGAGGCGGTCGTCCGGCTGCCGGCGTCCGTGACGCAGACGCCGCGCCGCATCAGCTTCGTGGTGTTCCGCAACGACCGCGCCTTCGCCGGCGGCCGGGGCTACTCCATCAACAGCAGGATCCTCAGCGTCAACGTGGAGGACCTCACGAAGTTCGACGACGGCGAGGTGGGACTCTTTGTGCGGCGCGCGGTTTTTTTTTTATGTTGCCAAGCGAGCAGCCGGTTCACCTGATGTTAAGTGAATGCCGCCGCCCATAGACATCTGCTACCCGAGGGTTGCAGATGCGTTGACAACCTTTTGAAGATTGGGCCCTGGCCACCTCACTCACCAGGTGAAACGCGAAAGTATTATACTTTTCGTCGGTCTTCTGTGAGGTCGTGGTACTTACCCGGACGAGCCTATTCGTGCAACAGCCGAGGCTGCTGCGCTGGCCCTACTACCGTGTACCACAGTTGTATGCCCGACTTTTTTTATGTGAGAATCTGGTAAGTGAGTTGGCGGTTCACTTGAGGTTAAGCGATAACCGCCCATGGACATTTGCAATTTCCGAAGTTGCAGATGCGTTGTCGCCTTTCCCGTCTACCTCACTCACCAGGAGAAAGGCAGAAGTATGAAACTTACATTTCAAGCCTTTTATATTTGAGCTCCTGTAAAGTAATTACCTGGATGGCCCTGCACCTCGTGCTACAGCCGAAGCTGTTACACCCTACCACCTCTATATACAGCCTCGTGCTACAGCCGAAGCTGTTACACCCTACCACCTCTATATATAACAATACAGAATATCTCTGACAACTAGACAACGGTTCAGTTTTGTCATCTCCTCATAAAAGACTAAATAATCGTAGTAACGCCGATGCTCAGGTGGTGGACATTCACATCAGTCCGATAACCAGCGAGCCGCAGCGCAACCAGAGCCGGGCGTGCGCGTACTGGCAGTTCCTGGAGGACGGCAGCGGGCTCTGGTCCCAGGAGGGGTGCACCCTCATCAGGTCCGAGGACCCGGATCTGCTGGACACGTGCCGGTGCGACCACCTCACGCACTTCGCCGAGGTGCTGGTGCCGGCCGCGGTCTTCTCCGAGAAGGACGAGAGCGCCCTCGAGCTGATCTCCATAATCGGGTGCTGCGCCTCCATCTTCGGTCTGTGCCTCGTCGGCCTGACCGCGGCCACCTTCCGCGCCTGGCGCCGGAGCTACAGCAACAAGATCTGGCTGCACCTCTGCGCGGCGGTCCTCCTACTGGTGGTGTGCTTCTTGGCTGTGCCCCTCGTCAGGTTCGAGACCAACAGCGTCGGCTGCATGCTGCTCGGCGTGATGCTCCACTACGCGGTCCTATCGTCTTTCTGTTGGATGGTCGTCGCCGCCGTTCTCTCCTACCGTCGCCTGGTGCTGGTCTTCACTAGGGACGCGTCGCACAAGTTGCTGCGGGCGGCCGCCTTCGCGTGGGGCGCGCCCTGCGCCGTAGTCGGCGCTTTGCTCGCCGCCGCCCCCGATTCGTATGCGGGGCGCTTCGAAGACAAAAGCCCCACGGCGGCCTTCTGCTACCCTTCCGGGCTGGGGCTGTGGTTGGCGGTGTACACCCCCGCGGCCGCCGCCCTTCTGGCCAACTGGACGCTGTTCGTGCTGATAATCCGCTCCGTGTTCGCGTCGAGTCGAGTCCGCCGCCACGGGGAATCCCACGAGGCGCTGAGGTGCGCGTCCGTCAGCTGCCTTTTGGTCTTCCTGTTCGGTCTGCCATGGATCTTCGGGCTGTTCGCCTTCAACCTGGTGGCCGCGTACCTGTTCACGCTGACGGCCAGCTACCAGGGCTTCGTGCTGTTCCTCTTCTTCGTGGTGGGCAACAGGAAGACGCGCGACATGTGGCTCGACCGGCTCAAGATCAAGCAGACGCGGAAGGTGCCGGTCACCTCGTCGACGTACTCGAACCGCAGCACGGGCGCCGCGTGGCGGGGCGGAGCGCCCGAGCAGAAGGCGAAGCCCCGCTCGCTCGCTACGCCGGACGACTCCCGCTTCTCCTGACGAAAGGGGGGCGAAGGCCCTGGGGCGCTAGCAGCCACCAGGGCCGGTTTGGCAGCGCCGCCACGTGGAGGCCGCGGTGGAGTCTAGTCCTGCTTACAGCGACGGGCGCGGATCTAACCGGGGGGCGGGGAGATCCTGGAGGATCGGTCGATTGTATGGTATACAATTAAACGGTGGATATTTGGTTTGTCTACAGTGAGCTAATGGGTCCTTTCTTTCTTCTCAATGTGAGTTTTGAGTGAACAGCAAAGAGCCTAGATCCGCGTCTGCGTGTTCCTGCGTTGCTATTATCTTCGTTGTCTATGCCCGGCTACAAATGTCGGTCACTAGTTACCTATCCTAATGTGGCGAACGAAGACAGCTTTACATTATTTCTTGATGGTTTTCAGGTATAAGACAATATTGAATGTACTGTAATGTCATTTGGACACCGCTACGATTCGAAATTGACCTGAAAAAATACATTGAAATCGTCCTATTTATTTCAGTCTTCAACTTAGAAAGCCGTCTTCAACTTAGAAAGCCGTGAGACTTTATTTTGTAGATTAAATATTTATTTACTGTTTAACATAACCTATGTTGTATTAAATGTCACGTTATATTAAATGTGAAAAAGGGCGCGAAAACTCGGCTTTACCGTTACAGATTGTTATATTATAAATTTATTTTTATTATTTTTATTTATTTAACCATAGATCAAAATGGTTTTTAAATAAGAGGAAAGTTATTCATTATGAAAATAGTCTTTAAATCCTAATCAGAGGAGAGCTACAAAAATATAATAAATTTTCACTACAATATTATCAAAATGTCGTTATTATCTTTACTTCGTTTTATTACCGAATGTATTTAAATAATTTTATTTTAATTATTCGACGACACTATTGTTCATGTTTTAGAAAATATTAAATTATATTATAAGACATTTTTATTAATATTTTAATAAATATTAATATAATTTTAATGTATAAATGCAAACCTTATGTTCAATTCGCGTCCTTTCGATTTTGTTAGCTGGCAACATACGAATCCCACGATTGTAAATAATATGTATTCGTTGTACAGAACAAAGTAGTTTTAATATAAGATATTGCTATCGATCCTACTGCAGTCAAGTGAGCACTGAGGCATTTATTATAGGAATAATGTATTTAATGTTTGTTAAGTGAATAAACAAATGAAGACGAAATGTTATAATTTTTTTTTTAAATAATTTATTAAAAAACCTTACTTATTTGAAAAAAAATAATATGATATTTGTTTAACGAATCTTTTATTGCATATTAAAATACTCATTATCTAACAAAAATATCAAATAGTGCGTATTATTGTAGAGAAAGCATAAAATTCGCGTACAATTATCATACTAAGTGATAAGGCGGATTAAATTCAATCGGAATGATTTGTTTTAATTAAAATAATGTAATGTAATTTACCAGTTGGATTTATTTGAGTAAAATCCAAAAATGTTTATAACATTACGAATTTTTTTCAAACAGATAACACTTTAGTAGTTTGTGAAACTTCTCACGTCAGAAGGAATGTATGAAGTTCTTATGGCATCCGACAGATGGAGCTGTTGCCAATTGTTTTATTTATATTTTTTATTTTATTCGCTCAGTGCGTAATTTTTTTTTATCTAGTTAAAATTATGGGCAATGATTCTCATTTTAATTTTCTGTAAGATTTCTATTGGAATTCCGAATGAAACCTTATTTTCAGTTTATTATTACCAGAAGATTCTATTTTTATTTTATATTTTTCGATATTGATTCGGGCTTCCTATTTAAGCAATACGATTTGAATCGCTACAATGATTAAGAAAAAGACTAATGAGACATATAAGACTGCCAACCGGTTGATTATACATACATATTACGAAATATACCATAATTATCTTTTTCACATGTTTCAAAAATTTATGCGGTGCTAAATAAAAATGATGCACACACCTATAAATGTAAAATAAAATTTATACACTCCATTATAATAATAAAAAGAGTTTCCAGGCTAAATAAAAACTCTTTGATATAAATTCGCTTCAGAATCTATAAAATAGATCTACGTTACATCTCTCTTCGCCCGTCTATAAATAGCGTTTTTCTACACGAGGCGAATAGTGATTAACGAATGACCGGCTATCCAGGCCACTTATATTATTCAAAGGCCTCGTCCGTTGCAGTGAAAGATAAAACGGAGCGCTGTCATTATTAGCCCGTATCCATAGCAACACCCTTGCACACGCTCCATCGGTTGTTTACGTTGCCATGGCGTTCGGTGATCATTTCTTCGACGTTCGTCGAGCGGAGCGACATGTTCTGGGGAGTCAGCCCGGCGCTGGACCTGCAGGAGGAGTATCTGAAGAATGGGGACAGAAGCTCGTACGAGCTCAACTTCCTGGTCGTCGGCGGCTGCGACGCGCGCCACGTCATCAAAACGCTCGCCCAAGCCTATCGCCACAGCAGGCGCTACATGAACCTCTTCGTCATCGACGGATGCCCGGAGCTGGCCGCCAGGCAGCTTCTGTTGATGTCGCTGGCGTTAGAGCGCACGACCAGGGTCGGGCTGCTCGAGAAGACCAGGCGCCTGCTGGAAGTGTACGGGAACGCGCTCCTCCGGCCGCCCACGTCCAGGTACGTCGCGGCCAAGGCGCGCCAGCTGGTCGGCATGATCACGAACACGGAGTACATGAGCTGCCTGCTCCCCTGCGTGTCGATAGAACAGATGAAATACCGCGAGAGGGACTACATGGAGAACCTGTTCGGCTTCTGGACTACGGGCAACACGAACCAGTTCAACGCGTGCGAGCTCTGGGAGCACCGCCTCAGGCACAGCCTCGGGACTCGCTACGATACCAGGGCGGGCGTCTACGACTGGGACTACCACATGCGGCTGAAGGAGGTCGCCGGCCGGGTCTGCTACCAGGAGTACAGGCATTTCCGCGAGCACGGCGTGGCCTTCACCTGGCTGGAGACGGAGGTCTGCCGGCCGAACGTGACCTTTTCTGCGGGCGTCTACAAGTGCGGCGAGAGGTACTTGCACCGGGGCTACCTCGGGGACATCGTCACGTCGCCCTACGTGGCGTACGGGCTGGACTGCGAAGACGAGGACATGCTGCGCTCCACGCACGGTTCCAACTTCAAGCGGGCGACCGACATAGCCGAGAGGAACGTGATGCGAATGCTCTACGAGCTCGAGCACCGTCAGAGGTTCGACGCCGGCACGATGCACCTGGACGGCGGGAGGAACCTCGGCCTGGTGGTGACGAGCGATTTGGACGCGCGGATCTCCGAGGGCGGGCCCGAGGCGCCGTTGATGTTGCGCGAGGACCGCGACACGTACATAAACGTGGACTACGGGAAGGTGCACTTTCTATCCGCGTCGGCGTTAGACCAGTATCCCCACAAGCCCCAGTTCCAGGGGCTGTTCCACGCGGTGTACGTAGGGCAGAACATGCTGCCGCGCGTGAGGCCCAGCGTGTGGTCGATGGCGAGGGACGACGCGGTCCTGATAATGGAGACCCGCAAGTACATGGTGGAGCTGAAGCGGGAAGACGTGAAAGCGTTCGGCGATCAGATACAGCAGGCGGCCGCCGCCGCGCAGTGCGACAAGAAGTGCACCTTCGATCCCGAGAAGGACGACTTTGCAAGGTTCCTGATCAAACGGAACAGCGAGTGCACCGATGTATCTCAGTAGGATTGAAAATTAGAACAAACTTACTGTCAGTTTAGCTTTATTCGCGCAATGTTTATTAACTGTGGCAGGGCCACGCAACAGCGTTCACTGTGAGTAACAGCAACAGCTTCTGGTGAGTGAGGTAGCCGGAGCCCACTTTATTTAATGGTGGCAACGCATTTGAAACACTACGGGTTTTGCAAATGGCCATGGCTGGCGGTTATCACATGAAAAACTTGGCGAACCGCCAGCTCGTTTGCCACTTTCTCATATTAAAAAAGCCATAGTTACGTGTTCTAATTTAAAATACCAAATTATTAAGTATTATGCATATTTCATTTGTTTTTATTTTTAAAACTGTATGTGTATTATGGCTGTCCTATTGAAATAATGTTCTATTTTATAGTGGCGTTTCGAAAAGATTGTAAAGTATATTTTTAATATTACCCTTATACTATGAGATTCCAGCGTTTTAAAGGCTCACATTCAAACATGTAACATGGCCAAAAATCTCTATAACGATCTTTACCACCGCCGAGCTAACAAATCGCTACGGTAGAAAATGTATTATAATTTATATTTTTAATAGATAATTAAATCGAAATTGGTATTTTGCTAAAGGGAAGAAAAGTACTTATAATATCCTCATATTAGGAGTGCATATTACGAAGGAGGTAGAAAGAATTTGTTAGTAGGAACTAAATGTATATTTTAGATTAATTCTGTTGCCCTAGTACTTTTCTACTGCCGGAACCTCTCACTTTCCGTCCTTGTCTAACTGCTTTATTTTGTATATCTGCATTTCCACCATTTTTTAGGCCCCGCCTACAATTCGCTAAACATTTTATAACCTCACAAGTTTATGACACCCTGGTATTATTGGTGCATTAGTTTTCTAAAATATAAAGCTAGAAAGTACTACTGAATTATGTTTCGAAGTTATGAAAACCTAGTATGGCGACAAATAAAATAAAAACAATGCGATTCTATCTTAATTAACCCAAAAAAAAATCTTCGGCATACTTTGTACAAGATATATCGAGATATATAAGAATTCGGAAAGTGAGTTTCTTATACTTTCATATAGTGTTCATTTTGAATACTTTGGATGCTTAGAAATCATTGGCGCTGTGTTAGAAACTATGTTTATAACACCTTGAATCCTTCACCTAAGTATATAATTGACGATGTCCATGTTTCGATATAATTGTGCAAGGTGGTTTGCTTTACCTTTTTTTATTCTTGGAACCATTTGCGATCTGTATGCTTGTTTTGGGGATTATTTCCATCAGTAGACTAATCAGGCTGAAATAATATGCTTGTTTTACCTGAAAAACACACTTCAAACGGTCTGTGTAAGACCATTTTTACCTTGTCGATGTTATTAAAATCAATAGTTGCATTTACTATATTTTAATGACTGACTAGTACATACGTAAACATATTTTTCTTTTGGAAGTAAATATACAGTGTGTCTTTACCATCGCGACAATAAATGAACACACATATAGAGGATAACTTTTTTAAATTGTATTAAACATTTAAATTCTTTAAACATCAATATTTACAGTTTTCCAAAACAAAGAAATTTAAAACACTATGTTCAGCACGCAATATTTTTCCACCTGTGGGGATCGAACCCACACCCTCTCATTCAGGAGGATGATTCACTACTAACTGCGCCATTCGGGTCGTCTAATTTGGTTAAATTGTGTAAAATGCTTCACTGTTTTTGATGTGTGGTACATAATTTACAATTAAGCAGTTGTCTTGTGACTGGCGTATCCGGCTTTGGATCTAAAGGACGCAGAAGAAATAATTTTTCGCGAATACATTCACAAACTCTTACGACTGTCAATCGTACGGAGGATGTGATTTCCAGTTTCCAAGAACCTTTAAGCCAACTCGCCTTTATAGTCAATATGTCAAGCGCACAAGTTCTGTTGTAGAGCGATAACCGCCGCTCAAAGATGCCCCCAACATCACAGAGGTGGGTCGTAGGTGTGCTGTCAACCTTTTAAACAGCAGGTCCTGGTAACCATACTCATGAGAGGAAATGCGAATGGTATGCTTCACGCTGGTGTTGTGTGAAGCCGTGTTACTTCTCCGGACAAGTCTGCCCACTCATGTAACAACGGAGGCTGTTGAGTGAGTTCATCATTAAATAAAAACCGGCCAAGTGCGAGTTGGACTCGCGCTTGAATGGTTTTTTACCATTATCTATAAGAACGACAAAAAATCATACCTGTTGCATGGGAGCCCTACATAAACATTTTTTAATTGTTTTTTTTAGTATTTGTTGTTAAAGCGGCAACAGAAATACATCATCTGTAATAATATCAACTGTCTACCACGGTTCATGAGATACAGCATGGTGACAGACGGACAGACAGACAGCGGGGTCTTAGTAATCCCGTTTTACCCTTTGGGTACGAAACCCTTAAATCATTATTCTGGTTAACGGACGTTTGTCTAAGGTCTTCATTTTGATTTCTCTACTCAACTTCGCATAAATTCTTCATGCGTCTGGGCACGAACTCGGAAGACGCATGTTCGAATTTCGCAGCGCCGAAAGTTTTTGTTCATTTAAAAACTAAAGTAACAGTCTACAAATGTCCCACTGCTGGGCAAAGGCCGCCTCTTTTCAGAGGGTATAAGGGTATAGTCCACCACGCGGCCCCACTGCGGATCGGCGGACTATACATTTATTCGAAATATTTATTTTTGTTATTATTTCGAAAATATGCAGGTTTCCTTACGATGTTTCTTTCACCGTTGAGCACGTGTTACAGTAAGCACTTAAAATTAACAATTTCATTGCTGGTTTCTGACCCAAGATAAGAATTTTTCGGACGAAATAAAATTAAAAAACATAGTATCACAAATTTTGTTTGATTTTCTTTTATGAATTAATGTAATTTGTGTCTAATTTTATGGTCCATATGAAAATTCAAAGCCTATAGTTATTTGTGGTTATTAGATTAGGGAATTTAATGATATACTATTTATTTTAAAAATAAATTCGTTTTAGCATAGTTATGTTACTGTGAGAAACAAATAAAAATCCGCAGTCAGTACAGTTTTAGGCACGTAGGAACAGGTCTAAACTCTCTGAAACTTATCAATCTCTTTTATTTACCTTTGTAGTGTTAATCCACTGATATTTAATGGTTTACTGACTTTTTCAAACATCAGTAAGACATGAACCATTAAGATACTAGACAAGTAGATTACTTAGACGTATAATTATTTGAAACGATATAGTACAGAATGAAATGAGGTAACCGAATGGACCCAATCTCCCTAATCATAACACCCCAGACCACATCCTCTCTGTTAAAGTTTTTAAAGCTTCAACAGGTGGCCCTAGCTTTAAAGTATTTGAAAATGTTCGGGATTTTATAGCACAAATGAAACTACAGTATAAAATTTGTGTTCATCTATTTTTCTTTCATTAATAATATGTTACATTCATTTAATAAATCATACATTAAATATATTTACAAGGACCCCGAAACGAAAACAAAAAAAAAAACGGAGAATGACACAACGCTTCATCGTTCGCTTTTATCCCGTTAAAATTCGTATCTTTATATTACATAATATCGCTTAAACATTAACATTGTCTAATTTATTTAGTACGGCGTGTCCCGCGAGCGCGGATGTTCGTCGCCGGCAAAGATTATCATATTTGAGCAACATTTCACTGCCTCCTAAAAGCCTACCGGCGCCTCATCACCCCCGATCGAACGGCTGACGGAGAGGGACGGTGACTGTGCTACGGAGTTAACTGCTACTACTGCTAACAGTAGTGCTACGGGATTGTAATGCTACAGGATTGCAGTGCTACAGGACTGTAGGGCATCCGGATTGCTGTGCTACAATCAGCTATTTTGCTAATTGTATAGCTACAGATTTGAAGTGTTAAAGCATTTTAATGCTACAATCAGCACACGGAGCTGAATTCGACGTAACCTGGTCCCTCTCCCTGTCTCGAGCCGCCTACATTTTGAACGCTTACCCTTTACTTAGCGTCTGAAGTCGTCCCGTTGCCCCCGTTAGAAATTGGAAGATATAAACAAACCCCGACATATCTGATCACGATACATTACGAATAGATGATTCCTTACATTAACGCGTACACTACACATCGTGTGATAAAAGTAATGGATGGAATCGAAGCGATAAAGTCCATCGAGTACTTTTATTACGTGAAAAGTTAATTGATTCGTCGATTTACTTATCCATCAAACATCCATCCGTTTAACTTTAATTGCTTTAATTCTAAAAATCTTATTAGTTCTAAACAATAATGCTATCTATAAGTTTCGTAGGTAATCGTGTGAAATTTAAAACGCACCATAATACTCGTGCATTTAGTGATGATTATGAGTGAAATACAACAGTTTATTATAAGTACGGCTGTTTATATTGTCCCAAGTTCTACGGGGAAAATATGTGCGTTACAAAATTATTACATTAATTCATTCAGATAGGAATGACAGAATATACATTAGTAGATACAGATAAAAATAAATATGAAACATGTTCATTTTTAACATTACAAATAGAGTTTGAACTTAAACATAACTAGCAATAAAATATAATATTAAACAGATAACAATTACAGTTTTCTTACTATATAAGCACCGACAGTTCACTGTTCGGTGTTAAAGTATCTGTAAACATGGGAAAAGATAAAAAATAATTTTGAAGAGAGTTGAAAATTTCAATGAAAAGTTGAAAATTACCAGACGTTTGAATCTTAATCTGTTCTAGAACTTAATTACGAAAGCCTCGAATGTACTATATACGTGTCAATACGACATAGGCACTAGATAATTATAAAAAAGGCAGTTATGAATAAAAAACTTAATAACAATTTTCGGCAGCGCATTTATCAGTAACATTATCTTTAGAGCATTTAAAAGGTCAATTTATAGACAGTTAACACAATCAAGTCACAAAACATGTCATGTAAAACATTCTTCTTATTCTATGCCGATCAATAAAAATTACACAACAAAAAATACATACGTAGACAATGACATACCACACTTTCACGCAAAATTTCCGCCCCGAGCCCTCGTATTACTAATCAATAAGGACTATATCGAAAGCGTCGCTACGCCGTGTGTCCGATCGAGCTGGACGCACGTACGGAGAATTTTCGTTAGCGTTCAGTCTCGCTTAGCGACACAAAGGCCCTCGGCTACGAACATCCGCGTCGGTGTGTGCTACGGCGTAACGCAATGCAGGGGATCTTCCACACTCGCTTAAAACCGCTCTTTATCGCCCGAAACCTCTCGAAATTGCCCAAAATCGCTCGTTATTGCCCGAAATCGCTCGATATCGCCCGAAGTTGCTCGAAATCGCTCAATATCACCCGAAATTGCACGAGATCGCACTAAAACACCCGAAACCGTGCCGAATCGGCGAAAATCGTTCCGAAGACCCCCTGGAGCATTTCGCGGTAGCCGCAACACGGCCCTGAGCAATGGCGGTGTACGCGCCGTCGACAATTGACGTGTTAGGCCTACGTACTTTCGTACCTGTGCGGCCGCTTCCGCAATATCACCCTTACGGCCCATACAATACGGGCGCTGCGTGCTGGCTCAACTCGCGCACCGCCCGCCGGGTGCCGGCGCTCCACTCGCGATTATATTTCAACCGTATTTAGTTTACCGTTAGGGTTGAAAATCGATTGTTCCATTGGTGTTATAGAAGTCGACTAAGGCCAATACGTTTGCAATTTTTATATCATTAATTCAACACACAGTAATACGTATAACAAATGCTTTAACGTTATCATCTGGACTTCGCCATTATTAACATGTACATGTACAGGGCTATATTATATATATTAGGTGACGTCCTACTTTTTGATAATTCTCGATTAATATGACCTCCGCTTTTATGCAAAAACGAAATTAATGTATACCTACAGTTATTTGTTATCGTTCCACGCTGAATACCTAGTACATTACTGATACATACCGAATGAAGTTCTGGCAATTTACTTATCATTACGATTAAGTAATAACAAATAATATTCTTTCAATAAGGGAGTGGAAGTGTAGTCGAAGTCTGAAATGACTGACAAGAGTGGTAGAATGCGAATATACGATTATGCAATATGATGTCATAAACGACTTTTACCATAACGGACGACATCTTAGTTACGTGTAAAAAACTTGGTGTTATATCGTTGTTATAATTTTGAAAAAAAAAAAAAAAAATCTACATCACGACCCTTAGCTAGGCGTAATAATTCGATAACTCTAAGACATCTTTCCGTCCTTCTAACCCTACCGAATCTAAAACAGAGGTGTCTAACTAACTAGCTAATCACTAGGTGTACTTGGGCGAACTTTATTGAGATCAGATCACACGTGACTCGAAATATGGTAGGCAGTGTTTTGCGGCGGCTGCGGCGGCGTGGAGCGCCCGCACCCTATGGAGGGGGCAGGGTACCGAGCGGTCACGTCTACCCTGTACACGTTAATAGAGACTACCTATTCAATTCTTAAATACGGCATAACGATTAATTCCACTATATGTATTAACTGTTTCACCACGAATGGGGCGCGCGCGGCGGCACCCGGATCACGTCCACTATTCAATACGTTAACTGATAGTTAAACTACGGTTAATATCCTAGCGTTAACCCGAACGGTGAACATAAACGTTCTAACTCGTCTGTAACGGAAACGTAACGGGCGAAACTCATGCCCACTTCTCAGGGTGCGCTGGCGTCGTTCGCCTAAACGTCAATTATAAACCACCGTATGTATACATAATTATATTAATATATATCTGTTACATTTATATATGAACGAAACAGTTAATTCACAATAATGAACTATTCAGAACATGTGTACTTTATGGGCTAGATATAAAACATTAATGGTGCACGTCGGTGCGATTACTAATTCGAGAAAGTTCAAAACTAGAAATTACAATTACACGCAGGTCCCCAGCGGTCGTACGCGACGCCGGGCGCCTTCGCTATAGCGGGGCGGCCTCCCACTGAGCGGCGGCTCACATTAACTTCTGCTGCCGCTAACTCGGCGAAAGCGTCGCCTACTCTCTCCTCAATTAAATCGCCTATCTAAAGACCGTAGCGGCTCGTAGCCGCTCGTAGCGGGCATCCGAGCGCCGGGGCGGGCGACACTTAACCTACGCCCGCGCCGCGACGGACCGTAGCGCTACGGGGCCGCGTCCCGCCGCCGGGTCCCGCCGACATTTACAAGAAATAAAGCGTATCGATTCAACCGGAACACGAGCAGCCGTGCGGCGGGCGGGCGGTCGACTACAGCTACCGTCAGTATCCCATAGTTTCAGTCGTATCGTTCGTATATGTGCACAATATTTACATGGGGACGCGCGCGCCCGGCGCTCGGGGTGCGGTGCGGGGCGCGGGTGGCGGGTGGCGGGGGGTGCGCGCGGGTGGGCGGGTGAGCGGGTGAGCGGGTGGGCGGGTGTTCGCGGGTGTGGGGGGGGTGCGCGCGTCAGTGGTTGTACTCGGGGAAGGCGGCGGGCGCGTGGCGCGCGTCGCTGCCCGAGCTGCCGGCCGGCGAGGGGAAGTAGTCGCGCGCCGCCGGCACCGCTTCCTCACTCGCCCACCGGGCTAACTGTTGTTGAGCTTGAATAAATTCATCACTAGAAAATGACAGAGAAGGCGAACGGACAGTCCGGGAGCGCTCCGCGGGCCCAACGGTCTGTGCTCGAGACTGTTTTTCACACACGTGAACAAATTTTCGAACGGTTTAATTAGTTCAAATTCCAGTCCGACGTCGAATGTCGGACGCTTTTGTCTGCAATGAAAACGTTCGACTAATTGTTCGCGTGTCTCATGTCGAAATAAATATTGAATTTGAAATGGAAAATATTTCAAATTTTTAAAAGGAAAACTTGTGCCGAAATGGTTACAGCTTTTGCTCTCCATAAAAGATATACATATATGTTGAGCTATTTTTTTATATTCATTATTTGATCTTTTTTTAAGTACGAGTTAGACCTCAGAGCCCGCGAGTAAATTATACGAACGTTAGTGTTGTGTAGCTGAAATTAAAGTGTTAAAAAATGTCAAGCAAAAGGATGGAAGGGAGGCAAACAGTTATTTTGTTAATGTAATTATATGTAGCAATTTCAATATGTAATAATAGTAAAATCATTGAAATACCATGAATTAGCTGCCTTCCAAGTATGATAACATAGTGACAAAATGATGTTTGTACTTGAATTTAATGTAATTATTTTCGGTAAAAGAGAAGTTTGATTATAAATCTTTGCTAATCACTCAAAGGGTTTCCCCAACATTTGAAGTAATTTAAAATGTTGCTGAATGTTCCGTGAAAAAACAAATTTAGAGGTAAAGCGAAAGTTTGACGACATTATAAAATAGAATTTTATAATAACTATCTAATTCCCAGCAAAGAGTAAAAGCAGCCGCAAAATCTTGGAAAAATGATTATTTAACAAATTAAGAAATACTTTTCTAAAGCAGTTCGTTATAGAACAGCCATTTGCAAATCTGCATTGAAAGGTGTGAAGTACAGTAGTGAACCCTTCAATAAAAAAAAAGCAAATTAATAATAATGATCACTTGAGTGACTGTCATCAATGGAAGTGATGTACTATTAAAATATAAACTGATTGAATTTGTAGAACTTAACAGCACTCTATATAACAAACGCTTGGCAATAATTGGTTATAAAGTTATGAAAGCATTTTAAACAAACGTTTGCGATTTTAACATTTGCTTTCATAGATAACGTTAAAGGACAAATAAAAGAAGGCATTAATTGGATATGAAAGCATTTTACACAAACGTTTCCGATGTTGACATAAGCTTTATTAAGGAAATAAAGAAAAGGCAATTCGAAATGTGTTGGCGCTCACCTTTCGCTATCGGGTGCGTCTCGCAGTCGCTCCGCGTCTGCTGTCTCGTAGAGGGCGTCTTCGTCGGGGGGCGGGCGCGCGTGGGCCGCGTGGGCGGCGTGGGCGGCGTGGGCCGCGTGCGCGACGTGGGGCACGTGGGCCACGTGGGGCGCGTGCGACGGCCCGCCCGCGAACATGGCCGGGTGGTGCCGCGTGCTGCCGCGGAAGCGCGGGTACGCGAACCGCGACTCCTCCTCGCCGATGCGGCCCCGGCAACGACTGCTGGTCAAGGTCAGCGTAGTAACTGTAACTGCTAAAATCTAGCTAGATTAATTAGAACTGTGGTAGGGACACGCGGCGGTTGCTGTTGCACGAACGGACAGGCTCGTCCGGGGAAGTACCTCGACCGGCGTGAAGTGTAAGTATACTTTTGTCATTCGTCGGATGAGTGAGTTTATTGAAAGTTGACAATGAATATGCAACCCTACGGGCGTTGCAAATGTCCATGAGCAGCGGTTATCACTTCACATCAGGTGAACCGCCAGCCCGATTTTCACCTTGCATAAAAAACCACCACATCATCGTTCTCTCATCTTTTGGCTCGCTATAATAAGTGTGCCGTATACTTTATCTTTCTGAAACTGTTTGCTGTACAACCTTAGGTAGAATTGGTTACCAAACTCGCCGCTCTGAAATACTTCATCTAAATTTTTCACAGACGCATGTAAGGAGATAAAAATAAAAATAAACATTGTACAGTTTCAATCGGCCCCTCAGATACGCTCGGCTTTACGCTTTGAGAATCCACGGTTTAGATCGGAGGTATATATATATATATATATATATATATACTCACGGCGGCACCTCCCCGGGCTCGATCCTGTAGTGCCGATCCGCCTCCGTCTCGGACATGCGTATGTCCTCGGAGCCGGAGGGGCTCATGTGGCGGCTGGAGTGGTGCTCCAGCTGCCTGATCAGGTCCTCCAGGTTGCGGATCCTGATGGGGCCGCACTGGGGCGGCTCGTCCTCGTCGCCCTCGCCGCGCTGCCGCCTCAGCTCCGCCTCGTGCACCTTCTCCGCGCTGGGCGCCCTCTCGCGCTTGTACTCGTACTCCTGCATGGCCCGGAGGTCCCCGGATCCGATGGAGCCGCCGACGCTGGCGCGCTGCGCGGCTGCGCTCTTCAGCGCCACGATGATGTTCTCGTGGTAGCCGTTCAGGTCCTGCGGGCGGGTCGGGCCCGTTAGGTTAGGCCCGTCGAAATAATAACAAAAAAAATATTTCGAAAATACGTGAAGTCCGCCAATCCGCAGTGGGGCCACGTGGTGGAGTATGCCCTGATACTCTCTGTATAGAGGAGGCCTTTGCCCAGCAGTGGGACATGTATGTCATAAAAAGTTGCCAAGCGAGCGGACGGTTCACCCTATGTTAAATGAAAACCGCCGCCCATGGACATCCGCTACACCCGAAGGTTTGTAGATGTGTTGACAACCTCTTTGAAAGTTGGGCTCCGGTCACCTCACTCACCAGACGAAACGTTCAAGTGTTATACTTTCACTTTACGCCGATCTAACTAACATATGACCGCGGAGTTTCTTGCCGGTTTCTTTTCTGGCAGCTCTAGTTTAGTGAATCAAAGTCAAAATTTCTTTATTCAACATGGGCTTATTTTAAGCTCTTATTCAACGGCCCTTTCCATTAAGGTGGCTTTTACAATTATATTGTTGGTTGTGTGTGCATGTGTAATAAGCAAATAAGCACACATCTGAACGACTACAGGCGTCTCATCAGGTCGGAAAGGGTCACCTTGAACTTGTACTCCATGTCTGCGACCGCTCCCGTCGCCTCCTGGCCATCGGACTGGGACCCGGCCTCGAGCTGCTCCGACTGGGAGTCATCGGCCCACTTGTCCTTGCCGTCCACAGCGCCGTAGCCGTGCTTCTTCAGTATCCCCTTCTCCGGCAGCTTGGCCATGGCGTTCGGTGCTACGTCGATGAACGCGATGTCTTCCTCGCCTGCAAGAGTTTCATTAAGGCTATTGATAGAAACTGATTGAGATTGTTCTGTTTTCTCCACGCGGCTGAGCTTCGTGAATTAATTGAACGAATTCTTCATTACGTTGAATTGAAATGAATTAGATAATTAATAGGTTATAGAGTTATCGATTTAATTGTTTTTTCTTTTCATACGTGTGTTTTAACGGTGGTAGGGCCACGCAGCAGCCTCGGCTGTTGAACGAATGGGCAGGCCCATCCGGGTTAGTACCACGACCTCACAGAAGACCAGCGTAAAGTGAAAGTATGAGAAATACTTTCGCGTTTCGTCTAGTGAGTGAGGTAGCCGGAGCCCAATTTTCAAAAGGTTTTCAACGCATCTGTAACCCTCGGAAGTGACAGACGTCCATGGGTGGCGGTATTCACTTAACATCAGGTGAACCGCCTGCTCGTTTGACAACTTTTCGAATAAAAAAAATACATATTTTCTTTAGTAATAGTTTCACACACTTAAATGGCGCACAATCGAACAATTGTACAAATCCATTAAAATTTTTCTTTTTGCTCCTAGCATAAGTATGTCCGTCCACAAGTAGTAGTATTATTTTTTAGTTATTGTCTTCTTGATATCTTATTTTTTAAATAGTGTATAATTTCAGTACCACATACCTACAAGATTACTATTAAAAAAATGTAATTGTTAAATTACTTAGTCATGCAGCGGTAGACAAAAATAATAAAGATGAAGAATCGTACAAAACCATTTCTGTTAAGAATGTTTTTTTGAACAAATTTTCTATATTAGACCTTAAATCTTAAACAAGTTTCGCTCCTAAATACTTGATTTTGCATAAACTGTAGTAAGCTTTAACAGAATAAGTATACGGTTTCTATTTTGTTTTCTATTATTTTAAAAACATTGCCCTTACTTTAGGATAACATTATCCTGTGTTGTAAGGACGTTTTACACACATAAATTTCACGTGGACACACATCCCGTGTGGGGATCGAACCCACAACCCCCAAAGCCGAAGCCAACAACTTGGCAACTGCGCCAAGGAGTCATCAAAAAAAGTTTCTAAACTTCTATTTCTACTTCTAGCCTCACCTGAATGAGTTGGCTCGTCCTCGCTGCCCGAATGGACCCGTTTCATTTGCTTATGATCCCTGGAATGCAAAAACGGCCATACCATTACTAGTGTTAAAGTTCAGTATTTAACCAACAAACCTCCAATATTTAATTTCATTTCGATTTCATTCTCAACCATGAAGCGTGGAACGCTTGGTAGAATTATTTTGACTGAACTTAAATTTATTGAACGCTTTTAAAAATCCCTAAGCGTAAAGCGCCTGATGATATGATGAATGGGCAATGGCATGATGTGCGCAAGAAAGGTCCCTTTCAAAGCCACGCTGATAAGGTCCGGTATACTCAAACTGCACAAATTTACAGATACTTTATACGCTTGACGCTATTATGCCGTCTCTAGACCTCAGTCAGCATCTAACCCCTGGTCAAACTAAAGGCGGGTGCCTACTGCTATGGGGTTTTGTGCTGTGCCATGCTCAACCTAACAAGACATAGTTTAACCGACGAGTTGCCATTTGTCCCTCCAGCTAAATCTATACTCACGGATATCTACTACTGCTGGCAGCCCCCATGTGGTTCCCATGTTTGAAGATAACACGCTGTGAATCACCGCGGCTGAAAATTTCAAGGCTTAAAGTGATCTATTTCTATTTACTAGTACTAGATCGGAAGCCTAAGTACAGCTCGTCTAACGCTAATCGTCTCAACCCTCTAGCAAGGCTCTCACAATCTGGCTGTTCGCACCCTTGTTTTGATTGCTATTTAAATGCAGTACATTTCTAGAATTATTTTGTGATAGTCAATGTCTTAATGCTTGCACTAAATGTAGGTTGCATTGGTAGTATATACATTGGACTGTGTTTCAGAATACATGATGCATATGGAAGACACTTTATTGAGGATTTTTTGTGTTATTTTTGGCGAGATTCACTGTAGGTATTAGTTTTAAAACATTCCCCAATTTATAATCGGGCAATATATGCAGTTGACAATGTCACTTCTTACGTATGTACGTAAGAAGTTATACTCTTTGTTTGTCAAAAGATATATTTTATTGATAACGGTTTAATGAAATAACTTGGAATTATAGGTAAATGTCGAAAAGTTGTAATTGGTCACTCGGCAATACCGTGAAGTTGCTCGAAGTTGTTCGCTTTGCAACCAACTCCATCAGGTCGCTTTTTGACTGTCGGTGTGCACGCGCATCGTTAAAACTTTACTATCATAATTTTTACCATACTCGCCAAAAGAATTACAAAAAAAAAAAAAAACACGAAAAGATGAAAACCAATTGATCAACTCTACCTGGAACAGAGTAATAACTTAAATTGTTTCACATCCTTAATAATTGGCAGTCTATCTTTGTAGTCTAGTATTAACTTAACGTTACAAAGAAAGTAAAAAAAAACTTTATAAATCGGTAAGCGTGTCTTTTAACGCGTATAGGTGTGATAGTGATTGGTCACACTGGACAATAGAGAGGCGATGGTAGCAAAACTGGTCGATCAACAAAGCGTTTCAGTATGTAAGCTTAGTGGGGAAAAAAAAGCGAAAATCGTGCTAAGGACAGACAGTGTTGGAGAGCGGTGAGGCGCAAGAGATTTGCGGCAAGCGTCGACGTACCTTAGAAGATTTCTGTTTGAGAACACCAGATCCGTTTAGAAGAGGAAACAATAGTTTAATTTGGGATAAATCAATAGGGGTTCAAATTAAAGGAGCTTCAGATAAACTTCTTTTGAGTAAAACTCGTAGACTTGAAAAAAATTACTTCTAAAAAAAGGAATTAAATTAATCAAAATATGACAAAATTAGATGTGTAGTATTGTCTGAAACTCGTTTATTTAACTTAAAATAAATGAATTAAACTTCAGAAAAGAATATTGCGTCATAACAAGGGCACATTGATCGCCGCATACGGAACATTTAATAATTAAGTTTCGTTCGAAAATATAAACAATTAGCTTTACAGGTTAGGTTCAGTTAAAAACTACAGATATACGTGTTTTTAGATTAGGTTTAAAGTGGTGAAATTATGAAGACTTAAGAGGGTTAGGTTAGGTTAGGTTAGAACGTTCGCGCCGGGGTTCGCGGGAGATTGCGTTATCGTGTTCCCGCGTCCCCGGCAAAAGCGACAACGCAGGTGCAAACCGTGGGTTTTTTTAGTGGGCACCCCCTGGGGACTCCCACATACCCCCGCTGCCTACCCACAAGGCGGCGGGGGATTCATAAAGGATTTTTCCCACGTAAAAATAAAAAAAGAATAAAACTTTAGGTTAGAACGTGAGAAGGCCGCAGTCGCGCCGGGGTTCGCGGGAGATTGCGTTATCGTGTTCCCGCGTCCCCGGCAAAAGCGACAACGCAGGTGCAAACCGTTGGTTTTTTTAGTGGGCACCCCCTGTGGACTCCCACACGCCTTGTGGGTAGGCGGCGGGGGATTCATAAAAGATTTTTCATACGTAAAAAAAAAAAAGGTTAGGTTAGAACGTGAAATCGGGAACGTCGTGAAACCGCGTACCTGAAGGTGCTGTTGAAGCCGTGTATCTTGCCACCGTCGAGCGACACGTCCTCCTGCGAGTTGTTCGACGTGGTCGAGCCGGCCGGATAGCTCTTGGCGATGGGCTTCTTCGCGTACGGCGGATCGTATTTCGGCAGCGTGCTCTTCTTCCTGGCGCAGGCGTGGCGTGGAAACGCACACTCGGATCAATCGATTACGTTTGCAACATCGCTGCGGTTCTCGCATCGGGAACAGTTACGGGACTCGAGAACACCTCGGACAGTTTCAAAGGGGGACCAGATGGAGTTCCATCCGGTGTTTGTTCTAAATTTTGTTCAGAATGCTTCCAAAAGTCAGTTCGTTCGGCAAGAATTTGGAATAGCTTGCGGGAACGAAAGCTGATCGCCATTAGCTGCACTGTAAGAATTTCACCAACTTCTTCAGTTCTTCATTTATTGTTGTGTTGATGAAATTCTATTGATTCAAGCAATTTATGTGATTACTTCAATATTTTATGGATAGTCTATTAGTTATTTTTCATCAAAAATAAGTTATTCTTACTAAACTTCTACAATTATTTACAATTATCATTTTCACATAACCTTCAGATAGTATATAATTAAATCAAAGTTACGACAGAATTTTTAATGCAGTCAAAACAATTTCTATTCTAGGATCAGCATTCGTTTCACACATGAGTTTTTATTGAACAATTTTGCTACTTGTATACAACGGTCATCATAGTAATAGATTTTTGTGATGATTAAATTTATTTTGAATATTATGTGTATTTATGCATTCGATTATCGATTATTGTAGTATACAAGAGCAACTTTTGTTCAAATGCTATAAAGAGCTGGCGCTTTTGGATATTTCAATTGATTAAAAATCATTTAGATAATTTTAATTTGACATTGTCTATATTTTTCGTTTCATTCCTCACGGGAATTGATGTAAAATGGTAATATAATTGTAAGATTGATCTTAGCTTAGTGATTTCAGCGTCTTTCCAGTAAAAATGTTAAAATGCAACTTTGGATCTACTTGATATAAGATAACATCACTATAATGTTCGATATGTTCTAATAGCTAGGGCTAAATATATCATCAGAAGATGGTCTGTTGCTATTTAACAATACGAAAAATCTGATAAAGTAATAATGCATCTATATGGATGAAAGGACTCCTGATGATAATAACAGTGTTTGTTGATTTTCAATGGAAAGATGCGGAATTGACGAGTTAAATACATAACATTAGGCGTTGCTAACTAGATAGATAGACAGCTGCATGAAATTATTTATCGTGCATCGCACATTCGCTCCTCGTGCAAGAGTTAACAGGTATTGGTGACAGTGGTGATGATCGGTGAGGTTGAGTCGAGCGTTCTATATCTTCATTGGTTCCATCACATTTGCACAGTTCGAACGGTTAGTTAGGCGTAGGTACATACCCCGATCGAGCCGACGGCCACTGTGTCGGCGCGCGCGCGTGCAATGCGTGTAAACGGGGAAGATATAGACGCGACCCGTCCGCCGACAAAGAAAGGAAACGAAAACGAGTCACATTTCACATAAGCCAATGCACACATCCAAGAGCCCAGAATCTCAAGGGTTTGTCGAGGTGTCGCCCGGTGGGTAGGTGGAAAGCCCTGTCGGCATGCAGCGAGGCGGCCGGGAGGCCGGACGGCGCGGTCGGCGACGCGGCCCGGCCCCCGGCGCGCACAGAACCACAGATCAAACGCAGTCGGGCCGCGCCGACGCGCCACCCGCCAACTATCACTACGACCACAACGTAAACGTACAGTAAACAAAGGAAACAAACAAAGAAAAAAACTCCACACGCCACAATACCAAACAAAGGAAAACAACGGAAATGAAAGAACACGTCGAACAAGAACAAATGAAACACCAACGCTAATGTAACGTCTAATATAAAACATACAAGTATACGGAAGGTGACGATTTAAATTTCTCCTTAAAGACTACCTTTGGTCTGTTTTCTGCTCACTAACCTTAGGCACAGGGAGAAGTTTTTGTGTACTACGACTGACCTGTAGCAGAGAGCGCTCAGGGCAAATACTATGAATACCCCCCCTACCACAGACATGAGCACCGCCACGAGGAATACCGTGTTCGAGCCGTGGTAGTTCTCTGCGCCCAAAGAGAAGGTCTGTGAGTCGCGGTGCCGCAACGGTCGGTGGGGTCACGTGGACGCCAGCGACGCGCGGGCGGCGCCGGCTAGCTCGCGGTCGGCGTCGAAGCGTCACGATTCGATACGTTGCGACATAGCGGCACGGTGCACACACGACACGGACACGGACACGGACACGACACGGACACGGACACGACGCACACAGCGCGACAACACCGATTTACGGGTTACCTGAAGCAGTACGCCATCCAGGCGAAACCCACGAACACGGACAGCACGACCGCGAGTAACAATATCACCATGTTCATGGTGCTCATCTTATTACCCTCGTGCACACCTGCAAGAGAGGGGTCCCCCGCGTTAGTGCACCGGCGACGCCCGCGCCTCAAGTCACGCCTTCCGAGCAATGCCCTCGCCTCATGCGCCGAACTACCAACTATCGATACTGTACAACGCTCAACTCGATCGGCTGTTGCGTAAACACGTCTTAACTGACACTCCACCAATTTGGAAGAGCAGTGCTCGAATATGGCCAATTGCAATGTGACAAGCGTTCACAGTGAACATATCATTAGTAGGGGACATATCATTAGGCATAGACATGACAGATAGACACCTGAAATCATAAGACAGCGCTCAATTAGTAAGTTGCTTTTGAACGGTAATGAATGATGGTGTCGTGGAAACAGTATTCAAGCGAGAAAGAATTATTCACGAAAAATTGTTTGTAAAACAAATTAGGTTCAGTTTTTATACGTTAAATTATAAAACATGACTAGACCATCATTCAAACCTCCGTGGAGAAACCTGAAATGAAAAAGCGAAAGAAGAAATTAATAAGACTGTAGAAAACATAAGAAAGAGACAGGCAAAATAATAGAGAAGAAGAGCAGAAGATGTTGAAAATAGTAATAGCGAACAAAATTGCAGATACGGAATCTTTTGTCTTGCTAAAATTAGGCGATGTCATAGCTATTACTTAATATTTGAATTGATTAATTTCTTGTGTAATAAAAGATGGCACAGTGTACGTGTAACAGCGTACGTGGAAAATTAATATAATTAAAAAACACATGTTACTCTAAATTGATTGTTATGACACTATTTTATTGATAAAGTGACATAGGTACGGCCTTAGTATCCTGCGTATAATTTCTATTGTACAGTAATGTCGATCATACAGCAAGTATCTAAAGAAATTTTTCAAAGTAATATTGTTAATTAGAAATGTTAGCGTTTCTAAATAATCAATTCATTTTATTGTGAACGAAACTATTTTTGTTTTACAATGAAGGAAAATGTAATTGAATACATACAAAATAAGCAACATCAGTTATTATTCAGTTCCACTAAGGAATCCAACCAGCTTTAGGCCGTTGATTAATATGTATTAGACTCTTTTAATTACAGTTCCTTTTAATAATATTATAATAATAGCCTTTATTCAGACAACATACTTATAAATTAATAGATACTTTTACTGAATAAATTATATATATATATATATATATATATATATATATATATATATATATATATATATATATATATATATATATATATATATATATATATATATATATATATATATATATATATATATATATTGTTTTATGACTCCCGTCTGTGTCCCTCTTGTTGGCAAAGACCCCCCCAAATGTCTTCATTTACAGTTCCTATTAATTGATCCTTATTGTGTAATTTAGCAACGAAATGGGCCCCATTTTCCCTGCCAAATTAAGGTACGCTACACAGCATGTTTAAACCTGATTAATTTTCAAATATAGCTTCGCTTAAATATCTGGCAAGTGCTAAATGGCCGCGATGCGGTACTGGTGTTGACTCACCATAGGGCGTTTCCTTCTTGGTCATGTTGTAGGCGGTCTTAGTGGTGTTCTCCGGCACGTATGTGGTGGGGGAGGGGGGCAGCGGGTCCAGCTGGGAGCAGTCCGGCCCCGTCCAGCCTCGGTGGCACACGCACGTGTTCAAGTTGGAGCAAACCTGCGAACATTCATGGCCGTAATCATTTATTTGCTTTCAGCGTGGCATCGCATGAGGTGTTACAAATCATCAATACGGAACCGCATTTTATGGTAATTTTATATAGCATGCGAAATATTGACGGTATCGACCAAATCCACTTTACTCTACTATTTATATGAAGTTCACAAATTACAGTTACAATATCACAATTTATAATAAAGTGTTATATTATTTTTAATAAAGTATTATTATGTATTATAGTAAAAAAATAATTATATTTAATAACAAGTATTTAATCTTATTAAAAAATTATTTGATGTCATAAAAATTATTAAGCAATAACCACATTAATAACTTTTTTTAAAGTCTCCATCATTCGTTCATTTTCATGTTCTTAGGAATTTTATTAAAAATCCGTAGGTACACATTATCAAACACATAGAAGAACACTTGTTACATGGGTTACTTTATCGTATGCTTGGAATATTTTTTTAGGGTTCCGTACCTAAAGGGTAAAACGGGACTAATACTAAGACTTCGTTGTCTTTCTGTCTAACTGTCCGTCTGTAACCAGGCTGTACTTTATGAACCGTGATAGTTAGACTGTTGAAGTGTTCACAGACGATGTGTTTCTGTTGTCGCTATAACAAAAAATGCACAAACAGAATTAAAAATAGTTAGGTATGGCTCCCAACTGACACGATTTTTTTTCCCATTTTTATAGATAATGCTACGGAGCTTCGCACTTGTCCGGTTTTTTAAAAAAAAAAATGAGAATGTGGCAATCGAGCCGGTGGTTCACACGATGTTAAGTGATGAGCGCCACCCATTGACCTTTGCAACACCCGTAGGGTTGCAGGTGCTTTCCCACTTTTCACTGAAGTGAGTCGGGTACCTCCCTCTACAGACGAAACGCAAAACACTTCCAATTCGTGCTAGCCTTCTGTGAGGTTGTGGTATTTTCCTGGACGGACTTGCCCAATCCTGCAACAGCGTAGATCGTTGCTTGTCCCTGCCACAGTTAATCGACTGTGCGAAATTGATATTAAATAGAAATATACGAAGAAAATAGAAAAATGAGCATCAAATACTTCAAGTCGTGCCGACTTAAAACGTAGTCGTCATATAGTCCACAATTTGCGATTAATAATAATAATATCTTTATTCATATAGACGCTTGCGCGTTCTTATGAAACGTCGAAATTTTAGAAGGAAATTAATATGTTAGTAAGTTACCACTTGTAGTACAACTGATACTGCCATGAATATATCAACGTAGCAATCCCTCTGACAACATAACAGCGTACAAATTATGAACGCGCGCAAAACTCCAAAATGAATTACACAAATTCGACTCAATTACTCGAGCCAGTGGACCGTCGGCGTCATTTGCGAAACGTTTTTCATATAAACGAACGAAATCAACGCTCATTTGGCATATTGGGTCGTTTCAAGGCAAAGTTTAATTGGTGGCCGAAATTAAAAAGTTCGCACATTCCCAAAACGTTTGATCGTCGTTTGAGTCTACCCGACCGGTTACTACTAATACTGTATATATATTCGAATTTCGTTTTATAATTGGGCGGTTAATTTGGTAGCGTTATTTTCTAGCATTTAATTACACAATTATAAATTGTCGAACTCTGTCCAGTGACCATGGACGCTGGAATGGGTTCGAAACGTCGGGAATTTAGAAGATAATCAAACGCGATAGAATCCATGAAATAGTTTCATTTCACAATACATTCTTCTGCATTTTTTTGGAACCAAGAGAGAGAAATCCAGGGCGGATTTCTTTTAATGTTACACGAGTACATGTATGACAATTGTGTAAGTTGCGAAGCAGTGAACATGTTTACGTTAAAACAATTGTCTAACCCAATCGACATTCGAAACGAGCTAGTTTCGATAATGTTTGTTCTACCAATGTTTGCACCCTATATGGAAAACAGCACGAAGCATGGCTAGAACAAGGCCCCGATACAAACTGACATCGAACAACGTCGCAATTGTATTCGCTCCGGGTCATAAATGTCTATTCGATTTGCTTGCGAGTTGCTCGGTTTTGTTTTCGCTCGCTTTTGTTTTAAGTTCGAACAAACATTTGCAATAAGCAGTTAGTGCATTTTGTTTCATTTGTGAATATCATGTGGTATGAAATTTAGTTTCTGGTTTTCTGGTGTTGAGACTAGTGAAAGCATTAGATTATCAGGTCTAGTTAACGTGTCCATTTTAGTTTTGGAATTTAAGTGAGAATTTATAGCAAGTGAAAGCGCGACAGACAGACAGAGTAACTTTCAAATTTATGATATCAGTATGGATAAGGCTACGGGCGCGAGCCACGAGCGGTGGGCGGGTGCCAGCTCATTTTAACTGCAGAACGCTATTTGATTATTTAACAGCAGTGTGGGGATCACAATAATTTTAGCTTCTGTATTTATTTACATTTCTGTATTATTTATTTTCACTGAGTGCCGTCCATTTCACGGTCTTACGTTGCTACGCACACACACACACACAGACAAATACTAAGTGTATCACTTTAAAAAAAATGCGCGAATATTTCGATAGTATTTTCGATTTGATAAGCTCAATGAAACGGTTTGTGGTAGATGTTATTAGCTGTCCTTGTCGCGAGAGCTTATCTAATATTGTATATACATTTTCGTTGGTGGATTTTTTCCTGTGAACACGTTTCTGTATCTGGAGTCGCAGCTCACTGAACACCGATGGAATGTCTAAGTGCACATTTGGAGCCATTGGACTCGGCAGAAAGGCGATAAACACTAATTTTGTTTACCAATACATATTTCTTTATTCACATGATTCGATCAGCTTGGTAAAGATTTTTCCGAATCGTGGTCATGTTTTACATTTTATTACTTTTTGCAGCTGGACCTTAAAAGCTCCAAAGCAGATGTACAAGTAAAGCATTTTCAGTAACAAAAAAGAAAACAGACTTCAATTATCACGCGCTATACTTTTTTTATTTTGTGTTCCTTGATGTATCCCTCCGTAGTTCAAGGTCCAAGACCAATGAAATTAATAAAGGACCACATGGGAGCTAAACCGAATCCAGAGTAAAAATAGTTTTTAAAATCGGTTCACAAATGACGGAGTTCTGAAATAACAAAACTTCAAAGAACCCACAAAGGGTCCCGTTGTACGGGAACCCCACAACATTTTTTTTTATCTGTTTTTTTAGTATTTGTTGTTATAGCGGCAACAGAAATACACAATCTGTGAAAATTTCAACTGTCTAACTATCACGGTTCATGAGATTACAGCCTGCTGACAGACGGGCGGACAGACAGACGAGTCACAGCAATGGGGTCCCGTTTTACCCTTTGGGTACGGAACTCTAATGAGAGTCGCCTCTTTCTTGAAGTGAAAATAAATAGAACATCCTTCCAATTTTCTTTACGGCTGAATGAATGCTTTCATGAGCTACTCACTCCTCTAACATCCAATTTTACATTTGTATTCATAAATTATTTCAACGGTATTCATTTTATGTCATAAACGTTGATTTTATCATATTTGTTAAGAAAATTCAAAATTAGAAGCAACAAAGTGAATTACACGATATAAATGTCATGTTGAAAGGTCAGGCATCCGCAACCCTACGGGTGTTGCAAACGTCAATGGTCTGCGGTTAACACTTAGCATCAGGTGAACCGCCAGCTCGTTTGCCACCTTTGCGACCTTTGAACCTACGTGTTCCGGATTCGCGCCCAGACTTTACTACTAAGCTAAACGGCTGATTGCCAGAAACGCGACAATTTCAACGTAATTTATCTACATTGTGTTTTTTTCGTTTCGTCTATTATTATTATATCCTACGTGTTTCGATATCGACTTATCGTAGTGTTGATTTTTTTTCAATATCATAATAAGCTTGCTATTATGCTTATACTTTCTTGTTGTCAACATTTCTATCAAACTACTTGAAAAAAAAAATATATTTTTGATTGCTTTTTATTTCGCTTCACTAAAAAAAAAAATCACTCAATTACTTGATGTCTTTCTTTTATTGAGTTCGAAAATTCTATTTACGGGCACTTAAGAGCAAAGCCAGTTTGTTACGAGCGAGTTGTTAACGTTCCTACAGAGTTGATGTAATTGTTTCACGTTGAAGGGATTTCAAACTTGTAAACATTAACTTCAAATCGGGAGGTCGCGATAGTTACCCGTTAGTGGAGCGCCGGCATTGTGGGCAAAGTTGCCTGCCACGCCTAAAGGTAGTGCCAACTTCCAATGAAACTGTTCGGTTGGAGTTATATTAATAGATGGTGGACAAAAGCCTTTCCAGCAAGTCGAGATCGAGGTCAAAGTGGACCAACTCCTCAGTTTCGTTTGTTTGAATTGCCATTTATACGGACGCGATGGATTCACATGCAAGAACTATAACTATTCTTGTTATCACCAACCAAACCAAATCTCAGCGTATTACATAACTAAAGGAAGGGTTCCGAACCATTATTTATAAGAACGACACAAAAGTCATGTCTGTTGTATGGGCCCATGCCCCACTTAAATATTTTTTTATTCTGTTTTTTAGTAATTGTTGTTATAGCGGCCACAAAAATACATCATGAGATACAGCCTGGTGACAGACGGACAGACAGACAACGGAGTCTTAGTAATGGGGTCCCGTTTTACCCTTTGTGTATGGAAGCCTAAATATCCCTTGTTTATTGTTTTAAATGTTCATTTACTTTTATATATTTTTTTTAATAAACTGATCAGTTTTATCACGGCAATATTTGCAATGTGAGTTAGCATGAAATTATGACTTAATATTATAATCGATCTTATTCATATTTCCGTCAATTCTAAAGTGATTTAGCGGGTCCCTGCTTCGTTAAGAGATGCTCTTCCTGCAGAGATGCTCTTACAATCACTATATAGTATAAAACAAAGTCGTCCTGCTGTCTGTCTGTCCCTATATATGCTTAGATCTCTAAAACTACGCAACGGGTTTTGATGCGGTTTTCTTTAATAGATAGAGTGATTCAAGAGCAAGGTTTATATGTATAATTAATGTATAATATAGTAGAGAAAAAGCCGTGATAGCTCTGTGTCCGGGCGCTCGCCTTAATTCAATATATACTCGAGCAACCTGAGTTCGATCCCCGGTGCCGGCACCAATGAAGTTTTTAACTTTCAAGTGCTGAATTATCACGTGCTCCGCGGTGAAGGAAAACATCGTGAGGAAACCTGCATATTTTCGAAATAATAACAAAAAAAAATGTATTTCGAAAATATGTGAAGTCCACCAATCCGCAGTGGGGTCGCGTGGTGGACTATGCCCTGATACCCTCTGTATAGAGGAGGCCTTTGCCCAGCAGTGGGACATGTTTCGGCTGTTACCTTACCTATAGTAGAGAAACACATATTTAAGATTTAGGTTTCTAATGCGATGTGAATGTTGAAAACAAACATTCAGCATTGCACCCGTGCGAAGCCGGGGCGGGTCGCTAGTTTCTGTATAAATGAAGCGTTCGTTTGACTCACCCCTCTGCCGGAGCACTCGTAATTGTTGTGGTCCGTGGGACACTTGGTGTTGTCGATGAACTGGTACACGCTCGTGCAGGTCTGGTTGACGCAGACGAGGTTGTCTCCGCACGAGGTTCCATCGCGCACCAGCCCCAGGGGCCCAATGTCCGAGTGCTCCGGCAGGCCGGTCGTCGCTCTGGAACGGGTAGATCGAGTTCAAATCAAATCATTCATTCGTCGACGTAAGAAATATACGTTTCATCTATTTCATTCTTTTAATCTACCGCCGTTTCCTAATGAGGTTCCTCCAACGGAGAAGAAACAGGCGGAAGACTCCATCAAAAGGTATCCTCTTTTCTGTAATTTTTTTCTCTCAAACAATTAAATTGCTATGCGGTACATGATTTTCTTTTTAGAAACGGCTTAGGTGCGATCATCTCATTCCCAAAGGGTCGCTATCATTAATGTATTCATTTATATTATAATAAAAAAAGTTTTTCTTAAATAAATTTCTTGTACCTGTTGAATAGATAGGCTTTGCACATTAACTGGGATTTTCTTATGAAGTATGGTTGACAAGCTTCGGACGGTACTCACTTGCACTCGTACTCGTTCCCCTTGATGGTGATTACCGTCCTCGTGTAGTACTCATCCATGCCGGGCACCACCGGGTAGCGGTTGCCGAGCTGGCACTGCAGCGAGCCGCATTTCACGTGCCTGTCGAACGGGTCAGAATTAGGAGCCATATTTGTTTAACAAAACCGGACACACGCACACGATGGTTCCGTATCAATGAGAACGGCGAAAGAATCATCTCTGTTGCACGGGAGGCTCGCTTTGATATTTTTTTTAGTATTTGTTGTTGTAGCGGCAACAGAAATATATCATCTGTGAAAATTTCAAATGTCTAACTATCACGGCTCATGAGATACAGCCTGGTGACAGACGGACAGACAGACAGCGGAGTCTTAATAACAGGGTCCCGTTTTACCTTTGGGTACGAAACCTTCAAATCCGTCTATATATCATGAAGAAGCTATGCCCGAGCATACATAAAAAATTTAAACATCCGAATTGATAATCTCTTTTTTTAAGTCGGTTAAAAATTATAGATAGAGTGAATACGGCAACAACACTCACAGCCTCGATAGGTCATTGTCCGGGAGCACGCTTTTAATTCAATACACTTAAGCAAACCTGAGTCCAATCCCAGTTGCCGGCACCAATGTTAATTAAAATTTTATGTGTCAGCGTTCATGGCCCCTCTTGGATGTTATTTTACAATCATTCGATGAAAAAAGTTGAATTAAGAGCACTGAAAAACGTACGATATCACTACACACTCTATTATAAATTGCACTACGGTCTATTTCGATTTAAATAGGGAGTTTAATAGTTAAAGATAAACAAGAAAAGCGGATGGCTTCTTAGCATCACGTGTTGTTGCGCGAATGGTTAAGCTCGTCTAGGAAAGTACAACGGCCTCAAATAAGATCGGCGTGAAATGGAAGTGTTTAACTTTTGCCACCACTTGTTTTAAGGTTGCCAACCTCAAAGACGATGTGGATATTCCTGGGCGACGGTAATCACTTAAATCGAGGCGAGGAGTGAGGAGGCCTTGATCATAAGCTTAGCAGTGATACGAAGAAAGGAATATAGACCAAAAGAAACAACGAAGAATGGATACAACAAAGCTAAAATTCGGTGAGAGGGTCACGCAACAGTGTTCTGTTGCATTAATGGGCAGGTCCGGGTAAGTATCGCGACCACACACAAGACCGGCGAGAAGCAGAAGCACTACACTTCGTTTCATTCGAGGTAGCCGGTGAAGGCGTTTCGTCTGCTGTGTGAGGTAGCTGGGAAGTGTACTCACTGCATCTCACACTTGCGGTAGTGGCCGCCGGTGTCCTTCCCGCAGTGGCCGGTCACCGCCCCCTTGGAGTTGAACTGCTCGAAGCACTGCATGTCCGCGCCGATGGTGCCCGGCCCCCAGATGGCCTCGCACTGCAGCGAGAGCGTGGGGCAGTGGCCCGCGAAGCAGGCGCCCTTGCCGCCCTCGCAGGGCTCCCCGTTCTTCCTGTAGGAGTCCTCGGGGCAGAAGCCCGAGAGGCCGGTGCACGTCTCCTCCAGGTCGCACTCGTTGCTCGACTCGCGGCACACGACGCCGCGCGGCTTCAGCTGCGCGCCGACGGGATTGTAAGTTCCGTTTTGCCGGGATTTCGGGATTCACGATCATATATACAACTGCCCGGACACCGCCGGGATTTTTCTCGCGTTTGTTGATTTTTGTGCGATTTGTTCGGACTGAACAGCCAGTGTGCAGACGTTCCTATGAGACTGCATTATCGCGTTCGCATCTGCCGCTTATGATATGGGGAAGGGATTATTATTATCTCAACTGGGACAGATCCACGCAGCGGCTTTATCTGTTGCACAAACGGGCAGGCTCGTCTTGGGAAGTAGCATGGCCTCGGCGCCGCAGAAGACCAGCGTGAAGTGGAGGTGTGTTACTTTCGCGTTTCGTCTGGTGAGCGAGGTAGACGGGGCCCATTTATTTTAAACGTGTCAATGCATTAACAAAAGCTCTTGTAGATGCCCATGGGAGGCGGTAAACACTTAACATTAGATGAACCGTCTACTGGCTTCACTAGTTTTGACATAAAAATATACTCATGAAGATCTGTTAATGCAGTTAACTAATCAATTAATACAATCCATTATTTATATCAGTGTAAAACCAAAGTATTATGTATATATGAATAATTGGTAGACTCCTATAACATCAAATTTTTTCTTTTATCACCCACTGTTATGTTACAAACAAAGAATGAAAGGGCATGCAAGAAAAAAATAAAAACAAAAACATTTTATACACAATACTTTTTTCTTATTTCGGGCAAAATTAAAACGAACGTTCACGGTGTATATATTTTGATTGAAAGCGCATTGTTTTAGTATTTAGAGTACAAAAAGGTATGAGGCTACATTTTCCCCAGTATTTACTGCCAATAATGGTTGTATATTATTATAAAAAAAATTAGAGCATAATAATCCTTTCAAATCTGTTATTGCAGATATTCATTCAGATTTTTTTAGAACGGCATATTTTTTTTAGTTTACGATAACTACGGCCTTAATTATAATCATAAATGTAGCAAAGCCAGACGCACTGAAAATGTTTATATCAATTTTTGGAGGTGTTTATGAATAGATTGATCAAAAAGAAATAATGTTTCATTACAATCATAATTATAATGATGTACAATAAAATCAATGACAATACTTTACTGCGAAAATAATTCAAGGAACGCCCTAACTGAATGTTTGCAAGCTAACATATATGGAAATTAATGTTTATTAGCTACTGCTTACTTTATTTTAATATTGTTTTCTAAACTCTATTTAAAATAAAAATTGAGTTGTTTTATCAAGAAAGCAAGTTCCTTTTTGGAAGGTCGTATTTATTGAACCGTCGAAAGATTTAACGTTCATGAATTTTAAGCTTGTTTTCGTCAGTATCAGGACTTAAATTCCAGGTTCTAGAGTTCTAATGCCTTGCGATGTCAAATTAATGTGGATTGCACATTAAGGGGTGCTTTAGTGTTGAAATGTAGAACTCATTTGATTTGTCAACACATGAGATTTGCATATCACTTGTACTATTTTAGAACTATAGAAATATATTTTTAATATGTTTATGCTCTACTTCAACTTCCGGCCTAAGATTGACCGATAGGATATGCTGTCAGCGTTAAGTCCTCGTATGTGCAGTGTTTTGTGTATGATGTTTACTCATTAGCTCAAGTTATTCATTTATATTGTAAAGGGGTTAGAGGCTGTTTCCACGATCTCAAAGTAGGAATGTCTGGAGAAAAATAATACACTATAGTACAATAAAATAATATAGTGTTACAAATTAATTTAATACAGGAGCGTCTGAAATATTATCCAAGATTACGAAATTTGTTCGAAAGCAAAATTACTGCTGGCGTCGTCAATTTGAATAAACAAAATTGAAGACGAGGAAAAAGGCGTCCTCGGTTTTGGGATGTCGAAAATAAGATAGAGAGTTTCGGCGATTCATTCGTTTTACACAATTTCAATGAAACTGGGTGTCGCGAAAGCACACTGATCGGAGTCCGCTTTTAATTCTGTATGCTTTAGCGACAAAAGTTCAAATCCCGGATTCGGTGATGGGAAAATATTCAATTAACCGGTTTTTTATATGATTACAAAATAACTTTTTATACTACCAAAATTTTAATACTTTAATAAACACCTGTTGTTTTCTGTCTAACACTAAATTTATAATTCTGTTTGTTCGTTGCAAATGGATCCATCTTATAAATAAAATTTACATTCATAAACATCGCCAGTTTGTATGAACACAAACGAAATGCGAGTGCATGCACATTTGCAATGGTAATGATGTAATGTTATTTACAAGTTGTGTAAGTACTCCGGTAATTATCTCCTATCCTTCGTTGGGATGCAACCAACCACACATAAAACGTAACCAGTCTCCCGGTTTATACAGTGGTATGATAAATTCAATAACTAGGGCGAACTCATATATTGATTCCTTGTGTTTACGCGACTTCTATTCATGGCTATATCAAACATATTCTAGTTCCATGAACGCATCAAATGAAAATAAAAATAGGTGTGTGTGTGCTTATCTATGCACGTAAGAAGTATACTCAGTGGTGGATTTGTAGTGTTAGCCGCCCTAGGGCCCAGCCTACGTAGGAAGTTCCAGCCGCCCCCTTCTCAGAGCCCATCATACATGTTAGAAACCAGTGAACTTTTCGTCACGACTGGCCGCCCCTAATGCGCGGCCGCCCTAGGCCCGGGCCTATCGGGCCTTAGGGCAACGCCGCTGGACGTCGTGCTTACCATGCACTTATCGCAGCATTCGCCCGACGAGCACTGCGCCTCCTTGGTCAGCCGGCAAGTGTACGGGTCGCAGCAGGGGCTGCCCTCGTTGCACTCCGCGATGGTGCCGCAGTCGCACTCCTCGCCGTCGTCCACGCGCCCGTTGCCGCAGTGGCGGTGCACGACCACCTGCGCAGGCAGCCACAATGGAATTACAAATAAAGTTGATACCTGCGGAGTTTCTTTCGCATGTTTCCACTCCGCTAGAGGAACCTCATTAGTGGTAGATTAAAAAAAAATGACTATCGATGGATGAAATGAAAGTTTTCTTATATCGATAAATAAATGATTTTGATTTTTCATTTGATTTTGAGCCAAGTCACGCCCAATTGCTCGTCTCAAGGGAACATCGAACGATGTACATTACACTCTACATTACGTCTGTCAAGTGATGAATTTTAACGAAAAATTAAAAACAAACCCACAGCTAAAGCATATAGGTGAAAATTAATTTAGTGTGACCGCATACATATATGCGGTTTATTAGAGATCGTGACCGTAAACTGTAAAACACGGGTGGGGGTGGCCCTTTCCTTGCGTAAGAAAGGTCCGATGATTGCGCAGTGCTCTAAACGCCGCCAAAAGTTCGGAGAGCGGTAGAGGGCCCTCGTGAAATGGGCTTACTAAAGAATATCGCGTTCCGAACGCACATGCAGGGCGCTTTCGGGGCTCGCCGCGCGCCGTCTTCGTTTGAGGAGGCTTGACGCGACCTTGAACAGGTGTAATACGGGGGCGCGCGTTGACCTGACCGCGCCCCGCGGCACAATCGTCTTCCGATTTATGCATAACGAACTAGGAGAAACGGCGGCGGCTCTATGTAAATTTATTCCAATAAAGCGGTCCCATGGCCCGTTATTATATGCGAACGAACTGATAATTCCCGCTGCGGCCGCCTCTATTACCATAGCTTTTATTAAGGGCGCGAGATGGGGACAAACAATGCCGTGGCCCGATTGCTTCCCGAAGCGGGGGGTGGGGGGAGAGAGGGGGGGGGGGGGGTTGCATCCATCCTAACGGGACGGCCCGTGCTGATGGGTATACTGATGGAACGATAGTGTCTCGGCCCTGCAGCTTGCGCAGAGGACGCGTTCGGCAGGAACGAGGAAGGAGGAAAGGAATAACGATTTTTTGATATAGATAATTCCCTACTAGCGCAATCAGAGTACTGCGAGGTGTAACCTTGGTAGGGCCACGCAACAGGCTATTGCACGAATGCGTAGGTCCGTCCGAGTAAGTACCTCGACCTCGCAGAAGAACGGCGTGAAGTGAAGGTGTCATACTTCCGCGTCTGGTGAGTGAGGCAGGGGATCCCATATTTATATGAGGTGGCAACGCATCTGCAACCCTACGGGCGTTGCGAATGTCCATGGGTAGCGGTTATCACTTAGCATCAAGTGAACTGCCAGCTCACTTGCCACCTTCGTAGTTCTAAAAATCGTGAAAAATTCTTTCTTGAAAAGATGCTCAATGTATTTGCCACTTAAATTGCTACCGATTTAAAGTTTTCGGTCGGGACAAAAAGCTTTTGTTTTCAGGTTGAATTTTAAACTTGGTTAAGCGTAAATAGTGAGTCTAGGGAATAAAATTGTATTTGTAATTGGGGGTGAAATGCGAGGAAACAATTTCTCGCGGTAACTAAGTCGATATAAATTTAAAAGCCATTACGGTTAAAAGGATTAAACTCGATTTGGAAGAGGAAATGTATTACCAATTTAGATTTAGCATAAAGGATTCGGTTCAGGCATCGGGCCAAGTTATTTATTTTAAGAAAACCTGCGATCGAGTGCCAAATGATCCCTCAGTGGACACCAATCCTTGCCAATAGATAGAGCATGGAAATATTACGAAGAAAGATTGAGAAATGCGAGAGTGATTAATTGACTAAGGTCAAATAAAAGCGCTTCAACGATCAGAAGCCGAAGAACTTTTATATAATAAATAAGTGTTAGTTCTATAAACTTCAACATTACGATTATAGATTTGTGATCACATCAAGTGTATACCGAAAGGCATTAAGTCCACTCTTTGTATGTGCGTCCATATATAAAGGTTTCTAATTGAGCATAAATTAATGAAACGGCGACTACTGCGACAGTTTTTGTGGATATGTTTGCAATTGAATTAATAACCACTAAATTACCAAATAAAGGTTTTTTTTAGAAGTCGTTAAACGGATGTTTATTTCTCTTTGAGATTTTTCACTTGGAAGCCGATGTTAAAAATATAACACCTAATATAGGCTATGCTGATCCTTCAACTAAGGCAGACAACGATGAACTACCAGATCTGGAAAAACTATTCGTAGGTTATATATAACTTAATTACAAGGGGGCGACGGATTATAACTAAAAGTGTCACAGGATGATGGTCATATCTTGAAGACGCCAATGTGTGGAGTTAATACTGTTGATACTCACCTAGGCTAAAACAAGACTATTATACCCGTACCATCACATTGTTAACTGACCTTTTAAAAAAGAGCAACTGTTGAGTTTCCTGCCGGTTTATTCTCAACAGAAACTGCTTTCCGAACCGGCCGGTGGTAACTTACGAACTTATTAATTTCTTTGTGAAATTTCGACGTTACATTAGAACGCGCAAGCGTCTATGTGAATGAAGATATTTTTATTATGGGGATATTTCTTCGTTTTTTCGTCTGACTGGGTTTATAGATAAAAATAAACATATAGATATATTTTGCATATATAAAATAAATATTATGAATAAAAATAAACACGTAGAAATAAATATTGTGTATAATACATATATAAATAGGACCCAACCAGACGGAAGTCCTAGGCAGGGGAGACCAAACGGCCGAGGGTTAGGGTGAAAGGGAGAGAAATATTATTATTATGGAAATATTATTATTATTATTATTATATTCATTTGTTTTCTCGTCTGGTTATTATTATTATTATTATTATTACTATAAAGGTTTAGGGTACCACTTGGTTGGGCTTGTTCATGAGGCAGATTCTCTTGCCGTTGCGCAGTTCGTTGATGTAGTCGTTCTTGGAGCACTCCGAGAACTTGTAGGGCTGCACGTTCTCCAAGCCGACAATGGACTGCGCCATTATGCAGCCGTGCCAGTCGCGGCAGAAGCACTGCTCGCGCCCATCGTCGTGGCCCATCCCTGTCACCGACGCGTTGCATGCATCAAGACTAATCACTATCGATCAAAAGCATCACTGCCCTAGCAAATGTTAGTGTATTCTGTTTATTCTTATGAGATAACTGTAGATCGGATTTGTGGATTATATGGCATGCGATAGTGGGTCGATCATAAAAAGTAGATATTTACTATCTTAAAGGAATTAACATATCTAGTTCTAGAATAAAAAATTAGGCAACTAAATTATCGGTTTCCTTCCAAAAACCCATGATTATTGTCAACGTCTATTGATTATACATACATATATAATCTACTTAAAAGTGTATGACATAATTTTAAACTAAATAAATATATAATAACGGCAGTCAGTATAATTCAGGTGTTTTGTACAACACCTAAGGAATGTTTAGATTACTTTTAGCGTGTAGGTAATGTATAATTATTATGAATTTTATTTTTCACAACACACCTAGGGTTAATACAAGAATAAGTTAAATATGGAACATATCTTACGCTGAGTGAACCTTTTTAGTGCATTATATTATAATATTGGGAATTTAGAATTGTTTTCTTTTATAATGAAATTCTTATATTTATGTACTTCAAAAAAGCAATCTTTCTTACTTTATTTTTTATGATTTTGCCGTTTTTATAGATAATGCTACGGAACCCTTCGTGCGTGAGTCCGACTCGCACTTGGCCGGTTTTATTGCTATTTGCATCATCTCTTTTAATTCACAATTGTGATGAAAATATTTCAGTCATCTAAGACAATCTTCGATTGGAGACCATTTTTAAAAAAAAGTCAATTCACTAACGAAGCTCAAAAAGTGAAAAGTACGCAATGATCTCGTTATTGTCTAGTGGCTCGCGTCCGGAACATGGAATGCAAAAAAGACACATGTGTCTTTTTTGCATTCCATACCTATACATGTGTATTGCCAGCTTATCTCCCCATTCCTGCTCTCATTTCTTGCACAGATTACAAAGTATAAAATAAATATTATTTTATGCATTACCAATTCGTTTCAGGTATATTACATATTACCCAGTATAGAATAAGGGATGATACAGATTGCCGGTTACACATGTGTATATGCAGTTAATAAATACGATGTATACGATATTTGGAGTTGACACATACGTAACTTCATTTCATTCAAATAAAATATTTGTTTTTATTAAATTTATTACTTATATTTTTTTTTCTTTAAAAGCATTGCCCTCACTTTAGGATAATATACATAACTGTGTTATTATTACATGTTTTGTATTATTAGTACAAAACAAATAATAACTTGCAACAAATTAATATTTTAATTTCAAATTTACTGTTCAATAACTTAATTATTCTTTAATTATGCAAGCATTCATTGTCTTTAATGTTACGGAACAGGCCTGGCTTAATATTTAATGACATTCACTAGCAATAACAAATTAGGGTGGCGTTAACTGTTTGTTAACACAAGAATACAGTTAGAGCAGAACTTGAAAAAAGTATTATCTGTCACGATTTACCGATGAATTTTCTCGATTCGAGACCTGGCTTAAGTACTTACCAATGTTGTGGCCTATCATGTGCGCCATTGTGCCGGCCAGAAGGTGCGGCTCGTACGAATTGGTGTCTACGGAGATGCCCACTGAATTCGTTGTGCAAATCGTGTCCGGTACAGAGATACCCGACTCGCCGCCCGGGAAAGTCAACCCCCTGTGAAGAAAGCAATTTTATTATTTGGCAAATACATCCTAATGTTCGACGAACGACAAATCTACCTGAATCTGCTTCATTACATAGTATAAAACAAAGTCGTCCCGCTATCTGTCTGTCCCTATGTATGGTTAGATTTTTAAAACCACGCAACGGATCTTGATGCAGTTTTTTTTTAATAGATAGAGTGATTCAAGAGGAAAGTTTATATGTATAATATAATAAACCCTTTTAATATATAAATACATTAAACATGTAGCACAATATTTTGAATGTTTTTATCAAACCTATAAGATTTTACAGTAAGTGCTATTATAATTTTTTAAAGGAAGTTGACAAGAACGTTTTGTTTAATACGCAGGTGTTTGTACAAGCAGTGTTCCAGCAAGAAAAAAAGAAAAAAACGATGTTGCTAGGTTTAGATAGAATAGGATAAAAATAAGGAAAATGTGCTTAGTAACATAGATTATTAAATATATACAACCACTCTTGTATACTTTTTGGTTTTGAAGGTAATGATACTCGCCAATTCTATAACTGAATTTTATTACTCTATGAAACTGTGTATGATTTTTATTTTCAAGTTTTAATATTAGTAGGAACATTAAACATTAAAACTGTGTTAATAATTCAAGAATCAATAAGAAACAAAATAAATACCATATTAGTATATTACGTAAACATGACAATTCTTAATGTTTAATTCCACAGTACCGTAAAGAAGGTAGAGACAAAACTTGACTAGCAACTTTTACTGCAATAGCAGTAAAAGTTATTAACTGTTCTTAAGCTCCTTGCTAGCTGCAATAGTAGCTAACTCATGTTTAGTCACTCGTTAGTTATGCTCTATAATTTGATAATGGTCATAGACGCTGGCGGATACATTTCGTAGATCGCCGATTCAGTGTGATGGGAGAATTCAATTTATAATTGCCATTTCGCAATCTGTGATTAGGAAATTCGACCGTTCCAAACTAAAGGTTATTTAAAGTTTAAATCAGAGGCCGAAAGTTTTAAACTAGAACCCAGTACAATTTATATTACTCATTTGATCCCATCTGGGGCTTTAATTAGGACCCGGATGATTTTATGTTCGATGACACTTTAAGTATCGTGTAATACAATAACCAAAACAAGTATGTATTAAATCTTTCGACAGTAATTCTAAAATTTTACTAGTGGCTTTTCTCATGTGCTACATTTTTTAGGGTTCCGTATCCAAAGAGTAAAACGGGACCCGGTCCATTACTAAGACCGTCTGCCACCAGTTAAAATTTTCACAGGTGATGTGTTTCTGTTGCTGTTATAACAAAAATACTAAAAAACAGAATAAAAAATCTTTAAGTTGGGCTTTCATACAATAGACCTGATTTTTTTGCCGTTTTTATAGATAATGGTATGGATACTCGCACTTGGCCGGTTTTAGTATAATCATGACGATAAGTAAAGTGGACACTTTTACAGTAAAACTATAGGCTACCTGTAGGCTTCATCCAGCCGATAAACTATATAATCAAATTCTATTTCTAACTATCGTTGCAATATCAAGGGGACACGTCTACGAACTTGCATATTTAATATCATCGCGATATCGATTCGTAACTACTCGTACGTAGAGCGAGCGCTACGATTTGTAGATCGTAGCCGTACGCTGCTACGAGAGCGTAGAGCGGCATTGGATCCAACGCTGTTAGCCGATCTCATTTGTAATTTGCCCCACTTCGAACCGTACGCAGCGTCAACATGCCTTGACAAGCCATTGTAATTCCGGCGCAAATGAACTCCGACAATATGGAAGCGAACGCGTCTAATGAACTTTGAATGTCGATGTATATTCAGGACGAGAGAGCAGGTTTAAGACATGATTAATTAGAGATATATTGATTATTGATGAATAATTATATATTATTTTAGTTACAGGATTTGTTCTTATATTTATGCCTATTATTGGTATACACAACATTTACGATCTAAATTTAGATAAAATAAAATTTTACCTAAGAATTAATTCTATAAAATTAGTTATATATTTTAAATAAATTTGTATGAAAAGACATAAAAGTGTAAAAAAGAATTAATTTTAAATTTATATGCACTCTAATTCAGTAGAAATGGTAATTTCTTTTTATTTACATAATTTTTATTTATATAATCTTCTTAATATTTTATAGGCAGTTGAGATCGAAAAGTTGGTGGATTCCGTTATATTAACTGTTGCCTTAACTCCGAAAACATAATCATCTCTCTGGTAAACCGTAGTTGAGGGCGATGCCTTATAATGACACTAACTTAGATAAATAGATAGGCTCCAGTAGTTCTCATCTCATACTTCTCTTCCTTTTTTTCCCATACATATTGTGTACATAATATAGTTATATTTTATACAATGTTGTAATTTACGGCTAGGACGTCATCAATTCGACGTTGCGAAGTTCTAGTTAAGCGCAAGCAAGTTTTGCGTAGTTTTTAGCGAATGTGTCATCTCTGTTTTGGTCGTACAAAATATGAACACACTTGTTGTGTATTTTTTTTCAGTGGAACGTGAATAATATAGGTTATCTTAATCTATTCCAAGTGATGAGTAATGAGTAATTCCAAGTAATTACTATTCTTACGGTGGTAGGGCCACGCAGCAGCCTTGGCTGTTGCACGAATGGGCAGGCTCGTCCGGGTAAGTACCACGACCTCACAGAAGACCGGCGTGAAGTGGAAGTATAATGCATTCGCGTTTCGTCTGGTGAGTGAGGTGGCTGGAGCCCAGTTTTCAAAAGGTTGTCAACGCATCTGCAACCCTCGGGTGTAGCAGATATCCATGGGCGGCGGTATTCACTTAACATCAGGTGAACCGTCTGCTCGTTTGGCAACTTTCACATAAAAAAAGGACGAGAAGTGTGTGCTAACATTTTTATATTCAAATCAATTAAGTTATATAAATAAATTTTCATGTTAAAATCAAAATATTAATGATAAATGTACGAATTATATGGAGGCATATAAAAATTATGTTCATATAACAAACGCACAATTGTTTTAATTGATTTCTGTCGTAATTTTGTGTCTTGATAAATTTCTATTTGAGATATTGTATCTTAAATATTATTAACACACTATACCTCAAATCTAAGAAGATATCCAAACCGATTAATAAGAAAGGTACTAACATTGCCATTACGACTTTTAGGTAATGTAATGGCCAAGCATTTAAAGAAATTGTTATTTTATAGCGTCAAAAAGCAAAAGGATTATATATTTAGCTGTGAATAAAAAAATATAATTATAATAGTCAGTTAACATTCCAATTATGCGAAGACAGGAAGTCATGCAAAGAAGAGTCATAAACTAAGTATTTGTGATCACACACGGATCGAATTAAGATTTTTATTTGATATCTTTCAATCGTAAATCGTCGATCGTTTGACGACCCGAATGGCGTAGTTGGTAGTAACTGACTCCTGCGCTAGAGGGTGTGGGTTCGGTTCTCACTACTTTGAAAATTTTGTGTGATGAACATAATATTTTTCTAGTGTCAAAAACACAGCAGGTGTTTGTGTTAATAATAATAATAATAATTTATTTGCAAAAGAAAAGTAAGTTTAAGTATGTATACCAGTTATCTATACCCATAGTGCAAACGTAGTAAATGTAGCTTAGTTTGGGACTGGAGAAAATTGTGTAAAAATGTGTCCAAAAAAAATTTTGTGGCTCCATCAAACGTGTCATTAAATAAATTTTAAACGAAATAAAGCTTGTTTAATGGATAGAGTACGAGACAGTTAATGCTTTCAAAAAGATTTTTAGTCCCGAACGTGACACATGACGAGTATCTCCATAGCACAACTGCCTAAACGTCACACAGTGATTTTGCACGTTAGATTCGCTTGCAAAATTGATCGGGATCCGTTTGCATCGTCTGTGACGTTGAGATGCAAAACCGAGCGCAAGTCCGTGCTTTCAGTTCCTACCGCGTATTATGAAAATTGTTCAGCGATTCGAACCTTCCGCCGTTATAAAGGAGTATTTTAGTACATTAAAACCTGAACGGTAGGGCGTGTTTCTTAAAACAAACACACCCGTTTTAAGATATTTTTTTCTATTTAAGCGAGTATCCTATACGTTAAGTGAAAATATAGAGATTTTATCGCTTAAATAGCTCGGAATAGAAAAATATCCAACAGTAAATAGATATATATCCAACACTAAATATATCTCTAACAATGGCACGTAAAACAACTCAGCCCGTCCTTTGAACATAAACGTTATAAAGTGTTCGAAATGTCGGGAATTCGAAAACAAATTAAGCTGCGATGTATATATTATTATGGAAAGTATATAATGCGAAATGTATTTTACCATGGACAACGGTTCTTGTACACGTATCGAATGCTCAGACTGTAACTAGTATCACATTGGTTAAAGTCCGAGTAACAGCTACCTTAGAATATCGCGGGTGAACAATTACGACAGACGCCGAACGGAGTTCAGTTAACGCCCGCTACAGTGCACTCCCGAAACTTACCGTCTCAAATTGCCGCGAATCTACCTCACTCTACGTACTCAGTTTCTCAGTTACTCTACGTACTAAGTTTAACAAGAGAAGGGGTTTGGTCGCTAGTTGCAAGCGAGTTGCTCCGGAGCACTTTACTTCGCGATTAGTGACGCTCCAAGTGCTTCGGTAATTGGTTTCACCGTGTCTGACTAATGTAAAGCATATCAGGTGTATAATCCAGTACACACAAACAGTGATGACATAGAGACGTCACGAGTTTCCTGATTTTGAAATGTGCGTGTAAAATTCATGCTCACAGATAGAACAGATTGGCTCATTGAACTCACTCGTATGCGTGCTGGGAGGGTGCGGGAGACAGGCAAAGAGACGGTCTTCCTGTCCTCTGTAATCGAGGTGGAGTCGCGGGAGAAGAGGAGTGGTATTGCTTTTTCCTATCCTCCGTGACGGGCCTCTTGGGGCTGCAACGGCTATAGTGATGGGGCCACGGATGTGGGGACTGTCGATTTGGTCAGACGCGATTTTCTCTCTCTACCGTACGTGGCCGAAATGCTGAGTGGAGTCACAGACTAGATCCATCGCTAGGGGCTGGCGTATACTTTCAATCTGGACACTATGTAAAGCTATATAGATAATATAAAGCTTCATCTAACATTGAACCCGCGAAAAATATAGTCTTTACGAACAAGGCGGAATATATACTAAGACTTTGGTAGTTCTGACTTCTGCCTCGATGTCTACATAGTGAGTGTACTGAGCAACTTGTCCCTAGCGTGTTGACGTTCTAGTTGCTGACGGAAATTTTTGCAGATGAGAAAGGTGTAGAATGAACAAGTCACTGGTGTATCACTGGAATTTTATTCCATGAAATTAATAACGACATTCCAAAGTCAGAATTACTGGACTTTAACCGACATTAAACACTTCTTTGTCACAAGCCTTGCTTGCAATATTACTCTGCGGTCACTACTCTGCAGTCACTACTCTGCGGTCACTACTCTGCGGTCACTACTCTGCGGTCACTACTCTGCGGTCACTACTCTGCGGTTACCACCGTCGTTTTTATTTTTTGTGAAAATGTTTTCATAAGTAATTATTAGGGTTCAATATTATGCAGAACGACTTTACGAGGTTCTAACTCACAGGGTCGAATCTCAGCCACCTAGATCGTCACAAAATTGTGAATTGTTACATTCGTTTTAAGTACAGAATTTATAAGTTTTAATAAAGACTAAGAATATGACTCGAAAACGACATCCTCATGTCTATGATCTTTTTGATAAATTTTCTCTCTTTAATAATTCTCTTTTTAATAATTCTCTAATAATTCTCTTTCTCTAACTTGTGATGGTGTCTACTCTGTTGGTGCAACTAATAATTAAATAAATAAATAAAGAGCAACTGCTAAGTTTGTGACTTACTTACAAACTTATCTATCAGTTTTTATGTAAAATTAGACATTTCATAAGAACTTGCTAACGTCTATTAGAATAAAGATATTTTGAATTTTAATTTGAATATGAGTTAAATCATTTTGTAACAGCAATAGTATTTATAAGGATGCTGTGAAGGGCGAGCTATAATAAAAGCTGTATATTTATTATCAACATTTCCATCTACTTCTGTCGCCGTTTGAAATTATGAGGGGAAATCCGACATCCGCCGGTTGTTATCGCGTGCGTATCTAAACGCGAATTTGTTAAGATCCAACCCCACCTCTTACGTGATACGCCAACTGCTTTGGCAAAATGGACTTTAATACAAAACGTTAAGTCACAAAGTGGCGCTGTATCCATCGTAAAGCCGCTCTTAAACGTGTCTCACAGATTATACTTGCGAACGAACTCGCTTTAGGCGTAGTGACGACTTTTTGGAAGAGTCAAATGAGCACGCTATCGAAAGAGAATGGGTAAGGAGAGAAAATGCTGTTCCATTATATCGCTTAAATCATACACTTACGTGTTAACGAGGTACAAAGACTTAATTTGTATCTGTTTAACCCCAAAAGCGACATGTCTGCTTTTCAAATATTCATTTTAAAAATGTCATTTGAGAAAGTTAACTGTAAAGCAATCACGTTGGATGGCGCCAAGCATTGCAAAGAGTGCAATAAAAATAATGTACAAAAGAAGTCGAGATTTTCGAAAGATCAGGATACCGACCGCTAAGCTTTCTAGAGAGATTCTGATCGCGAACCGAAGGCAAAGGTTTGGAATTCTGGCAACGGTTTAAAAAAAAAGTGTGTGCTTTAGACCACACGACTAAAGAAAACTTCTTTGGTTCCGTCTATAAGTTTTTTTTTTTTTTTTTTTGGAGAAAAAAGGGGCAAACGAGCAGGAGGCTCACCTGATGGTAAGTGATTACCGCCGCCCATGAACACCTGCAACACCCGAGGGCTCACAAATGCGTTGCCGGCCTTTTAAGAAAGAGTACGCTCTCTTTTTGAAGGTTCCCAGGTCGTAACGGTTCGGAAAGACCGCCGGCGGCAGTTGGTTCCACAGAGTGGTTGTGCGAGGCAAGAAATGCCTTAAAAATCGCGCTGTTGTGGAACGTTGGACATCGAGGTGGTGTGGATGAAATTTTTGGTTCTGGCGCGATGTCCGATGGTGGAATTCAGCCGCCGGGATCAATCCAAAACAATTCCTCAGAACACTCCCCGTGATAAATGCGGTAGAAGATGCAGAGTGATCCAACATCTCTACGCAGAGCCAGAGGATCAAGCCGATCGGAAAGACTTTGATCGTCGATAACCCTAGCCGCCCTACGTTGAATGCGGTCAAATGGAAGAAGCTGGTAATAGGGGGCTCCCGCCCAGAGGTGAGAACAGTACTCCATGTGGGGCCGAATTTGCGCCTTATACAGGTTTAGGCGTTGGGCAGCCGTGAAGTACCGTCTCGCCTTGCTGAGCACGCCAAGCTTCTTTGAGGCCAATTTGGCCTTACCTTCCAATTGACCGCGGAACTGGACGTTGCTCGAGATTTCGACGCCAAGCATTCCGATACTAGCTGTGGCAGATAGCAAAGTGTTCTCGAAATGAGGAGTCACGACAAATGGGGACTTTTTAGCGGTTAACGCGCAAACTTGTGTCTTTTTGGGGTTGAATTGGACTAGGTTTAGTCGACCCCATTCTGAGACTTTGGTTAACAAAGTCTCGACCTCAGACACAAGCTTGTTCCGACACTCGTAGACGTTTTCCCGAGAAATGTTAGCTCGGCCAGTGTACGACACATCCACAGTGCTATCGTCTGCATAACAATGGACGTTGCTGATTTTCAATATAATAACTATAAGAACTAAACTATCTTTAAATTAATAGTTTACTCACGTGAGCATTTGTGTGGTGTCCCTGTCTTGGTTGAACAGCTTTCTGGCTGTATAGTCGCTGAGCTTCTGTATGGCGCGGGTGATGTCCTGCTTCCTGTCTATGTCCGCTTGGTCAGCGCTCTGCCAGGACTCGATGTACACCAGGGAGACGCGCGTGTTCAGCGTTCGGAAGTACTGAGGAGTGAAGGAGCATTTTTTTATGCGAGAAGGTGGCATGCAAGCTGGCGGTTCATCTAATGTTAGTGATAGCTGCCGCCCATGGACATTTGCAACACCTGTAGGGTTACAAACACGACGCCATCTTTGAATAAAGCGGGCACCGCACTGCGGCTACTGCACTCATCAGACGGAATGCAAAAGTATAACATGTCCAGTTCACGCCAGTCTTCTGTGAGGTCATGTTACTTACCGGGACGGACCTGCCCATTTGTGCAACAGTTGAAACTGTTACACTTAAACTGCCACAATTAAACTGCACTACATGCGATGTTTTCCAATATTTGTGCACTTTTAAAATGTTTCAAAGAAAATTCTACAAACTTTCCAGTTGTTTTTAATAAAGTTTCGGATAGTATGAGTATGCATTATCTCTTGTTTTATTATTTACTAGACTGTTCAAAGCGCCTTCAGTGGGCTAAAAAACTAACTTCGTTAAAAATAATTCCGCTTACTTAGCAGTTAAGATAGCTTGTTGTTGTTGTTTTTATTTTTTTTTGTCCCCTTTTTATTTCCCCTTACTTTAGGATAACATCATCTTTATTTATCTAAAGACGTTTTACCACACAAATTCTATGCGGATAAACACCCAGATACGAAACAACTATCTGCGGGTCACACAAATAGTTGTCCCGTGTGGGAATCGAAACCAAGACCAGCGACGCAGAAGCCAATAACTCGGCAACGGAGCTACGGAGTCATCATTAATAGTTCCACAATTAAAAAGAATGACACGATTAAGTTAGTAGTGTACGAAAAGAGAAACTCACCAGGTCGGCTATGTTGGCAACTTGTATCGCATCGTGGACAACTTCGGAGCGGGTGCTGCCGTTGCGGCTGTCGAACATAGACTTGTCTATGATCAGGGCTGTCTCTATGTACTTGGTGACCTCGCGGACATCCCTCCTGCGCCTGTTGAGTGCCCGCAGCCCGGCGTTCTGCCACCACCGCCATGCGTGATCCTCCTTCGACGTTTTTGGCACACCCCTGGCGATATAGGGACATGAATTACTATTGTGTTTTCATATAAACAATTTGCATCATCGCTTTATTGATTTTGTTTGAGTGTGGCAAGTTCTTGCGGGTGTGCGCAACAGATGTCATTAATATTTTGTGATTCTAATATATCTTTTCAAATGTTAGTAATAATGAATACATTAAAATCAGACTGGACAATTGATTCAATTACCTTAAATATTTATATAAAAAGATGGTAAATTAATTATATCATAAAGAGAAATTGTTTTCAAATATAGTGTAGAGTACGTAAATGACTAGGGAACCATTTAATTCTTTTAGTTTTAAACGAACTTAACAAATTTATTATCGTCTAAGGTGTTTCATCGTGTGTTTCACGTTACATTCACATATTATGTAATTTATCGTCAACTGCAAATCGATACTTCGACATTTCAAACAATCGGATAGATGCCAAGACATGAGCTTAGACTCGTAGTTGAGATTGTGGTTAAAGTATTAGCCTATACATGTCCCACTGCTGGGCAAAGACCTCCTTTGTACAGAGGGCATAGTCCACTACGCGGCCCCACTGCGGATTGGCGGACTTCACATATCTTCGTAAAATTTTGTTTTTATTATTATTTAGAAAATATGCAGGTTTCCTCACGGTGAGCACGTGATAATCAAGCACTTAAAATTAATAATTTCATTGGTGCCGGCACCGGGGATCGAACTCAGGTTGCTCGAGTATATTGAATTAAAGGCGAGCGCCCAGACACTGAGCTATCACGGCTCTAGGTTGTGGTTATAGACGATCAAAAAGTTTTCAAGGTGAACACAGAACATTGGCGTGTCGATGGAAACGAGCCGCGTAAGAAATATCAATTCGCCGATGCCCAAATTTGTCCATTTCGCCGGTGACAATTTAATTTCCTTTTGTACAACAAAAAAAAAAAAGAACTCGGCGTTATTAATATTTCATTTTTCGTAATGGAACATAACTGGGAACTCCTTTGTTGAATTAAGAGACGGCTCTGTTCGCTGCGGAATAAAAGAGATGGGCAATTTAAAGGAGACGTTTAACGAAATTTCGTTTAACGAGGGAAATATAGGCCTTACTCGTACCGGCCCTTTTGTATAAACGACAAATGACTGCGCTCCAACGAAATGTTGAACAAGAAATCTAATGTAATTCATAGAATTTTTCGTACAACATTGAAGCGTTTTCAAAGAGGTTCAGTTATGTTTTTTTTTTCAAAACTCATGGATAGTTTCCATGAGGTCTGCCAATTTTGATATAACCAACCTGACAATTTTGATTTCTTTTTCAATGAATCACAGGTCATTTTCAATGATATATTATTTAAAGTTTTATTTTTTATGTGAGAAGTGGCAAACGACCTGGCGGTTTACCATAGACATTTGCAACACATTGACATGTTATAAAATATGCAACTATCCTCATATATTATAAATCAACACTTAAAATTAAAATGAACAATCACTTTGGCAGACACCATGATTTTAATTTGAAAGAAAGTACCCGAACACTAAGTCAGGGCTCACTATAAATAAAAAGATAAATATTTTAGGACACATTTTTACACAACGTTCTCTAGTCCCAAACTAAGCAACGCTTGTAGGTACTATGGGTACTAGATCACAGATAAACATACTTAAAAATACCTTTTTAGTGTAAATAAATGCATATTATACATATATAAACACCCAGACACTAGAAAAAATGAAAAAAATATTTGAAAAAATTCATCATACAAAATTTTTCTAATTGTTTTTCATAAGAAATCCTCGGTATTGCAATATTTTTGATAAGGCGACCCAACAGATTCCACTGGTGCACTAATGAAGCGGAAGCTGACAAAAAACGTAAAGAAAAAGCGTTACTAAAAATGCCAAAAGACTTTCCATATCCAAAAATCAGATAAAATGGAATGTCGCCATTTTTTTTAAAATAAACCTATTTCGAACCCGCGGGGTAAAAGTGTAGGTTTTCTGTTATTCACTCGGAGTTTATTCAGTAGATCGCTCCTTCAGCAGTTCTCCAGCAATTACTATAGATTCCGGACAGCAGATAAAGAGGTAACTTTGTAAAGGTCCAGCTTGTTTAATCAGCTCGATTCAAACAAATCTGATACCGTCATTTGGACGTCAATTACGAGGGGAATCGCTTTTGAAGCGAGTACCTTGAGTTAACTTGACGGATCCTTCGATGCCTATTTGGAAGTTGAATAATCTGTCCATCCGCGAACCTCTTCGAGGGGTTTGTAATTCTGAAGCCTTTGATGGTATTATTATTCAAACTGAGTTAAGTTTCGCTGGCATCGGTAGTCTGGTACACGGATAGTCTTATGAATCACAATGAAGTAGACAAGCTCGATTAGATTTAGTATTTTAGTTAGGGGCTGAAAGTTGTTCAGAAATTCTCGTATTAAATTAACTTCCTTAATCTATGTGCGGGTGTGCTGAGTCTCTATAGCGTAATCCAATCAATGATCATAAGCTTAATATACTTTGCGTCCAATATGGTTTTTGTATATGCCAGTTGACTATTTGATATATTCCGTTTTTTTAAGGTGGTAGAGCTACGCAACAGTATTTGCCGTTGCAGGAATTGGGAAGGTCCGTTCGGGTAAATACCACGACCTGACCGAAGACCGCCGTGAAGTAGAAGTATTATACTTCTATGTTAAGTCTGGAGAGTAAGGTAGCCGGGGCCCACTTTATCAATAGGTGGAAATGCATCTGCAACACTACGGGTATCAAATGCTATCACTTAACATTAGATGAACCGCCAGCTCGTTTGCCACCTTCTCACATAAAAAAATGAGATTAAAGATCCTGTAATTGACGGGATGTGTGCCAAAACACTGAATGTTATCGGTAGTATATAAAAAAGTAAAGTAAAGTATCAGCCTATAAATATCCCACTGCTGGGCAAAGGCCTCCTCTGTAGAGAGGATATCAGGACATAGTCACCACGGGACCCCACTGCGGATTGGCGGACGTCACATATTTTCGAAATTTATTTTTTCGAAAATATGCAGGTTTCCTCACGATCTTTTCCTTCACCGCCGAGCACGTGATAATTCAGCACTTAATTACGAACTTCAGTGGTGCTGGCACCGGGGATCGAACTCAGGTTGCTCGAGTAAATTTAATTAAAGGCGAGCGAGGCGAGAAATAAAATGGTATATTTAACTGCGTTGCTCCGTCCTTGGCGTACTGTCCTTTTGCCAATTCCCGAATCGGATTTTCCCGCCTTCCGGCGGCCCTAAACGCAGTCCGGTTAACTACGCCATTACCGCTCCATACCGAATCAATGCGGCGGAACGACAGCTCGAAACGTCAAAGGGTATCATTAAAACGGCACCCCGGGGGACTCAGGCGGGCGCTATAAGTGAAAGGGCCTTATCGATGGGCTCCGATCGGGATCGGCGATAGCCGCGCGCGAAAATCTACGGCGTAGGCCGACGCCTCGGAGACGCCTGATCGCGGCACGATGGATTCCATCGATTTGTCATTGTCAAGGTCATTCCCGAGGTGCTTAATTAAGCCCTCTTCCGCACCGAATCGATTATTTATCGACGCCTGTCGCGATTTTTTATCGGTTCAAAGTTTTGCCTTTACAGTGATGTGGGTGAGACGGAATACTTGTGTTAGCGTCGAGAGAGTTGACAAGTCCATATTATATCTCGCTCTGTATTAATTTTATAATTGATTTCCAGGAGTTCCGTAAGTATACCCGGAGCCCAGGATCTAATACAAATGAAATTAATATGGGAAAGATCTTGTATCTTGTATTAACTGATGTTTGTGCTTTCAGTCCAGAGACTATTAAAGCTTCATCTGACGCAGAACCGGTGGGCTAGCCAGAACCCACGGGTTTGGGCCCTCCGCTGTGGGTAGGGCCGGGCTATGGGAAAGAATCATCATAATCGGTTCACCCATTCAAAAGTTCTCGGGTAACAAACATCGCGGTCTTCCATTGCTTCTATGAGCTTCGTTAGAGGTTTTACATTTTAAGGAATAGCGTACAGAAAATCGCTTTTTGAATCGTTTTATTCGCTTGATTTAAAGGCGATGCCGCACCGAGCGATTTTAGGTAAAGTTTGGGTACAAAGCGCAAAGCAAGCAGTGCATTCTGTTAGCCACCTTTCGAGATGGAGGTGATTTAACGCCCGCGGGGAGGTAGGGGTAACTAAGCTCTCTCGATTTTGCGGTTGGCCGCCAATTCCCGTCCTCTTAATTACTTCATTGAACAACAAAAAAAATTGTACTTCTGCTGCGTTACAGAAAGTTGGGTGCAATTACTATAATTTTCAATAATAATTTGGTGGTTCTCGTATTTTTTTTTATGTTTGTTACCTCAGAACTTTCGACTGAGTTCACCGATTTTGATGATTCTTTTTTTATTTGAAAGCTGGCGCTTCCCATGTGGTCCCATATTAATTTCATTGCTTTTCGAAAATATGCCGGTTTCCTCCCGATGTTTTCCTTCGCCGCTGGGCATGTGACGATTCAGCACTTAAAGTTCAATGATGCTTGAACCGGGAATTGCACTCAGGTCGCCCGAGTATTCAGTCAAATGCGCGGTGTAGCGTGAAATTTCTTACGCGTTTCTAGGGTCGTCAGCGATCGCCTCCTCGACGAAGGACACGCGCTTGTTGCGCCTGTTCTTCGGCCGGGACTCCAGCTTGTTGGCGCAGCCCTTGTTCGTCTTCGTGCGCGCCTCGAAGATCACATGTGGGTGCTTCTGCTGAAACAAACACAAAGACAAATGAAAGCGCGTCCATTCGTTCACCTTTCCCCTTCATGTGAGTCAAACATTTAATCATGGAAGTCTGCCAATGGCGCACCCCTTCTTCCCCTATACTCATACCCTGTCGTGTAAATTTATCAGGTGCTTGTCTCTTTGTTGTCACCGCCATCTGTCGTTTAAATTTGACAACAGCTCAGCCGCTCTTATCCTGTCCTCACTGCCTGTCACTTACATTTTTCGAATGATTGATTCCTCAGCCATCGTATTTTTGTAATTTTTATTTTTATGCAACAATTATGAGCGTGCACATAAGACATTTTGGGGAAATTCCTGTAGAATAAAGAGTTTATAGAAGCGTTTGTGCTAAGTAAAGATGGTTACCCTAAAGACAAAGAATTGGGCATTATAGAAGATATTTATCTATCACCATGGAATGCATGCTGAATGTGGTTCAGATCTTATAGTTTATAATGATGTATAATGTATGTAATATAAAATAGTGACTACATTATTTACCATAAAGGATTAATTGTCTACAACATATATAAAACTAGCGACCCGCCGGGCTTCGCACGGGTGCAATGTATTATACATATAAACCTTCCTCTTGAATCACTCTATCTAGTAAAAAAAACCGCATCAAGCTCCGTTGCGTAGTTTTAAAGATCTAAGCATACATAGGGACAGACAGACAGTGGGACGACTTTGTTTTATACTATGTAATGACGATTTAGTACTCAATATTTCGCATTGTGGTACTATGAAGATGACATGTTCGATAATGTCGAACAAAGTCACTTTGAAATGTCCTACTACTCATAATCAGATCGATTTTGATTATATGGTTGGACAAAGACAAATTTGATTTAGCATGAAAATTTAAAAATGTATGTAATATATTACATCTCATCATCATCATCATTTCAGCCTGTTTGAGTCCACTGCTGAACAAAGGCCTCCCCCATAGACTGCCACGAAGTACGATCCTGAGCCACCTGCATCCATCGACTTCCCGCACATTTGCACAGGTCGTCACTCCTTACTTAATGCTAATTTTTTTTTCTATAGTTTATATGTTACAAGTAATTTGTATATTGATACTCTCACTCCATGAATAATATATAAAACATCAGTTAACAAACGAGTGAATGCGGAAAGTAAAAACTCAGTTATGATTCTATTAGTTGCTTTCTGAAAAAAAAAAATAACTTTCCCTTGTTCAACTTTCGTAATATTTCAACGAGATAACTATCTACTCTTTACTGGACCGGACACATTTTCATATCTCAGAAGTTTGCGTTGCTCAATTTATTATGCGCCGTCTGCGCGAATACTAAAATTTGTTACGGCGAAAAATCAGGTGGTTTCCCATTCCCGTATTTTTGTTTCAAATTACACTCCACTTCTGACTGACAATGGTTTTATTGATCTTACTGACAATGAACGAATGAATACTTGAATACTTTTACTGTCCACCACTTGAATATGGTAGGGCCACGCAATGGTGTTCACTGTTGCATGAATGGGCAGGTCCGTCCGGGTAAGTACCACGATCTGACAGAAGTCCGGCGTAAAGTACAAGTGTTACACTTCTGCGTTTCGTCTGATGAGTGAGGTAGCCGGGGCCCAGTTAATGTAAAAGTAGCAGCGCTTCTGTAACCCTACGGGTTTTGCAAATGTCCATGGGCGGCGGTTATCACTTAACATTAGGTGAACTGCCAGCTTGTTTGACACTTTGTCACATAAAAAAACATAAATTAAAGGTTACATAAAATTAACAATGGAAAAACAAAATGGAATGCACAATTTGGTGGCCTTATCGCTTCTTAGCGATCTCTTGCAAACCATTGGTTTAAAGGGACGTTCACTACGTAGGTAGTACGATGATGAATGTGGCGCGGTTGCTACGCTTTTAACTTCCCTACGCTATTAGTGAAGAAGTCCGCCAATCCGCAGTAGGGTCGCGTGGTGTACATTGCCCTGATACCCTGTATAAAGGAGGCCTTTACCCAGCAGTGGGACATGTATAGGCTGTAACTTTAACTTTAACTTTACGCTATTAGTGGCAGGCTTGCCAACTTAGGGCTTTTAGCCCCAAATTTAGGGCAGAAATATGCATATTGGGCTTTTTTTAGGATCCAAAAAAGTTTAGGGCCATTTTTAGGGCCCTGAATAATACTTAATGTATCACTAATTTGACTATCCAAAGTCAGTAAAAAAAAAGCAAAATGTCTAGTAATTAATGATATGTTAGTTAATATTGCGTTGTTTTGTTAAATATTTCAATTATTTGTAATTAAAAGAAATTAAAACTTGGTTAAAATTTGTAGAAAAAGTACGAAAAGATTGTCGCCGCTGTGGGAATCAAACCCACGTCTTCGGCATTCGCGGCCACACCAACAAAAATCTTAACGACTTTTATCTACATTGTTTTTTAGCATTTGAAGCCATGCTTGGCGCATCCATGGTTATATCCTTTTCAGCATACAAACAATTTCGAATATCGTTTTACAACGATAATTCGAACGAGAGATGTCGCCATTGATGTTCAATCTTAAGTGCAGAAAGTAGCACTATTAAAAAAAAAAAAATTCTAAAACTTGGTTATTTTTATTTGGTTATTTATTGGTTATCTTTGAATACAATACAGGTCTTTTTTGGGGCTTTTGAGAATTGTATTCAGGTTTATTTCATCTTGATTTTAGGGTAATTTTTTTAGTAGTTGGACAGACTGGGACCTGGGGTAGATTTTTGTAACATTATTGTCTATGATTATTACTATATATTGGGTCGTTCATAGATATTACTTCCTTCTTATTCTTGTCAACGCCCAACGTGCATATCATGTAAGTGATCAAATAAAGTTTATACAACTAAACAAGTCTTCTTTACTCATTTACAATAAAACATGGTGTCAGAAGTGAAAAATTAATACAAATACAAGAAAAAATAATATGGCAGATCAGTCTAACATAATAATTTCAAACACGCTACGACCTCTCATTGTCGACGGACAAATATGTGAAAGATGGCGGACATGGAAGCAAAAATTCGAAATTTTTATGGAAGCAAACGAGCTTGACAACCGATCACCAACCAAACAAGTCGCAATCCTTTTAAACGCAATCGGCGACGAAGGATTAAAGGTATTTAATTCATTCAATATTAACAGAGCAGATTCTTCATTAACCTTAAAACACGTGTTTGACAAATTCGACGCAAAATTTAATCCATGCAAAAACGTGACCGTCGAAAGATTTAATTTTTTCACAAGAACACAAAAGGAAGGTGAAACAATCGATGAATATGTCACAAGTCTGACCAACCTAAGTCATTCATGCGAGTTCAAAAGTCTCCAAAATTCTCTAATAAAAGACATGTTTGTTATTGGAATAAGAAGCCGTAAAATCCAAGAACATTTGTTACAAAAGGACAAGTTGGAAATAGAAAGTGCCGTAAATATAGCAAAAAGCATAGAAATGTCGCAAAATAGGTCAGAAAAGTTACAAAATAGTCAACAATTAAATATAAATGTCGCAAAATATCAGCCAAAAAGGATTTCAAGAAGCATAGGGAGAAGGGATAATCGTTCAGAGTCATCAGCATCAAGAAACATTTCAAGTAGTCGCAGCCAGACAAGTCAATATAAGAAACAATGTTCTCGATGTGGTCAAATTCATAGATTTAAATGTCCAGCAATGGGAAAAGTTTGTATAACTTGTAAAAAACCAAATCATTTTGCCAATTGCTGTTTTTTCAAACCTAAACTTAATAAAGTAAGTACTGTCTGTAACAATTCACCCTTTGAAAATAATAACTTTATAATTAGCGCTATCAATAAATCACATCAGGATTGGCAAATTGATGTGGACTGTTATGGATATATATTAAAATGTCGGATAGATACAGGTGCTGATACAAATGTAATGTCTAAACAAACTTTTGAAACACTTTGTTCAGCCACAAACACAAAAATACCTATTTTTAACACACATAATAACATATATTCTTTTTCAGGCGAACTAATTCCAAATATCGGTATTTGTAATCTAGAATGCAAATTCACTAACGGTTTGATAAATAACTTACAATTTACTATTGCGGATTGCAATTGCCAGACAATTTTAGGATGGAAAAGTTGTGAGAAAATGGGTATAGTACAAAGATTATTTACTTTAACAGAAAATAAGCAACAACAGTCAAGGTCAGTACAAAAAACATTCTTAATGAGTATTCATCAATGTTCACAGGGTTAGGATGTTTAGTCAAAGAAGCACATTTAGATGTTGATCCTAGTATTCCTCCAAAAATCTGCCCAGTTCGTAGGATTCCCTATTCTCTTAGAGATAGATTAAAACAAGAGTTAGATGAAATGGAAAAATTACATGTTATTGAAAAAGTGACAAAACCAACTAAATGGGTGAGTTCTATTGTTCTAGTACAAAAACCTAATGGTAAATTACGTATATGCCTAGATCCGAGAAATTTAAATTTAGCAATTCAAAGACCTCATTATCCTTATCCTACATTTGATGACTTACGTTCTAAAATAGCCGGTGCTACAATATTTTCTAAATTAGATGCTAACTCAGGATACTGGATTATAAAATTAGATGATGAAAGTAGTGACCTGTGCACATTTAACACACCTTATGGAAGGTACAAATTTCTTCGTCTTCCATATGGTATTAATTCTAGCGGAGAAATATTTCATAGAATAATGTCTGAAACATTTGAAGGTCTTCCCGGTGTAATAACATTCATTGATGATATCCTTGTATTTGCTTCTTCAGAGTCTGAACATAATCAACGTCTTGAAGCTGTTTTTAAAAGGGCCCAAGAAGCAAACATAAAATTTAATAAAACAAAATGTTCTTTTGGAGTCCCTGAAGTGTGCTATGTAGGACATATTTTTAATAAAAATGGTGTTTCCCCTGATAAGTCTAAAATAGAAGCTATAATTAATATGAAAAGTCCAACAAATGTCAAAGAGCTTCAACGCTTCTTAGGAATGATAAATTATCTAGGTAGCTTCATTTCTAATTTAGCAGAAAAAACTAATTTACTTCGAGCTTTACTTAAAAAACAAAATATATGGCAATGGACAGAGTCACATGAGCAAGAATTTATAAAATTAAAATCATTAATATGTCAGGCTCCAGTATTAGT